CAGCAAATATAATTAAAAGTTTACATTATTCATCTATGGCAAATATAATTATATGTCTCCCCTTTCATCTGTGTCTAGTGTTAGGTAGTAACTGGCTAGCTAGGACTTCATCTGTGTCTGGTGTTAGCTAGTTACTGGCTTGCTAGGTCTTCAGCCAGCATGGAACAAAAGGGGGGAGAAGGGTCGTTCAAAACTCTGATGCGGTTGTCATGTCAACACATCCGTCAGTGCTGCTGTGAACTGCATCACGAGAGTTGCCGAACGGGAGAAGTATACATTTTTTTTTACATCATTGATGCAATTTCCATGTTGTTTGAGTTGCATCCAATTTTCTTGACATAGGCGTTTCAAAAGAGCGGTCAGTCAAGGCGAGCTCATATAAGCTGCCTGACCATTCCGCCTGTCTTTTTAAACTTCCTGGAAGTTAGCCATGAGAGAAAAATTGTAATTTTTTTCTAAATTTTGTAGCATTTCTATCGCCTCAAAATATTATGTGTGATTTTTTAGTCACTCAAAAGGCTATTTTACATGGGAATCAGAATGACTGTTCAGGACCTTTAAAGAATAAACACGTGAAAAAGAACACCAAACTGTGACAGAGCATGACGTATCTCACAAAATGGGACCGCTTGCCTAGAGGTTGTCAATGCTCTTTGACCCATCTATCACCATTATTAGTGAAACAAATTACTTTTAGCACACACATAAAATACATTTACATGGATAATTGAAAAAAAGTGACTTCTCACAGCTGCCAAAAAGGTAAACAAGGTAAATTGTGCAATTTTCTACAGTACCTTCTCACCATTTGGGAGCTACATCAGTGTGTAGTCTCATTTTCTCTGCACTGTTTAAATATTCAAATGAAAAATGCCCCAACTTTAAAAATGACATTATCTGACTTGTACTGGATCTCCAAGGAATGAGCCTATTTTTCCTCTGATGCTCCAGAACCTTTGCATAATTTCAGCCAGTAGTTGTGGTGTTCACGAGCCAAAACGGGTCCCCATTTTTTTGTGTACTACGTCATCCATTTTGTATGATACACTATATATATAAAAGTATGTGGACACCCCTTCAAATTAGTGGATTCGGCTATTTCAGCCACACCCTTTGCTGACAGGTGTATAAAATCGAGCAAACATTGGCAGTAGAATGGCCTTACTGAAGAGCTCAGTGACTTTCAAATGTGGACACTGTCATAGGATGCCACCTTTCCAACAAGTCAGTTCGTCAAACTTCTGCCCTGCTAGAGCTGCCCAGTCAACTGTAAGTGCTGTTATTGTGAAGTGGAAACGTCTAGGAGCAACAACGGCTCAGCCGCGAAGTGGTAGGCCACACAAGCTCACAGAACGGGACCGCCGTCTGTCCTCGATTGCAACACTCACTACCGAGTTCCAAACTGCCTCTGGAAGCAACGTCAGCACAATAACTGTTCGTCGGGAGCTTCATGAAATGGGTTTCCATGGTGTATGTTACTTCCTGCAACAACAAAAAAATATATAATCCAATTCGTACAATATGTTATGAATTTGTTGTGCTTAAGATCCCGGACTACATCTTTAAGTGTTGCAGCAGACATAAAAGTGAGACCGGTTGCATAATGCTGAAAACATGTAAGACACCCTGATGTAGCTGTTGGCTTCAAAGAGATTCACATTTTACATTTAGCAGACGCTCTTATCCAGAGTGACTTACATGAGCAATTAGGGTTAAGTGCCTTGCTCAAGGGCACATCGGCATATTTTTCACCTAGTTGGCTCGGGGATTAGAACCAGCGACCTTTCGGTTACTGGCACAACGCTCTTTACCACTAAGCTACCTGCCGCCCACAAATGGCACTCACTCACATGCCTGTCAAAATTAGAAGGGATCAGTAACACATTAGGTGACACAAAAGGTGACAGCATTACTATAAGCATCTAAAATGAAAATCTACCCCAAACCATAGATCCCTCGACTGAAATGTCAAATTGTAATGAAATCCATAATGAATAGGAATATTTGGAGAAGACACCTTGTTGCTCATTTTGTGTCCATCATTTTGGTTTTTCATGTGAAATCTGGAAAGATGACAGGTGTCTGATTATGAATAATCACTCTCAATTCATGAAGAGGGCTAATAGAATTTTCAATTCCATTTTCAGAGTTGATTCCTTCTACACAATATGGTGCCCATGTACTGTATATCCGCCATAATATTCTTATGGCATCCAATTGAATTACTGTAAACAGTTCAGACGCTCTAATTGGTCAGTGTGGTATACATTGAGCAGATGTCAGGATTTGAATGAAGGCGGTTACTATATTTAGCCCAACAACACATACCATTAATTCATAGATCTATGGGATAATCCAACCATAAAGTATATACCAATGATTATTGATGAAACAATGCACAGGGCATTGCTGTGACATATTAATCCAGTGTTTAAAGTCAGTTAACAGTACAATTTGTGAAATGTACAGTTATGGTCATTGAATGGTTAATGATCAGGGCAGGTATTTGTCTGAAAAATTAATTCAGGATTGTGCTTTTATGATCTGAACAATGAATGGGTTTGTGCCATCTGCTGTTTATCTTAGCAAGAATCAGACTTACTTGTAACAGAATGAGCCGCAGTTCACCCAAATTGAAATAAAGTGCATTTATTTAAGAAGGAAAACATTTTGAAACCAACATCACAGTTTACAAATGTTTTCACAAATTCTTATTAACATGTTAAAACATAAGCTTACCTGCTAGCAAATAGAGCAGTACAAAGACTGTTCCCAAGAAATCTAATCAAAGCGAACCCTTGTACATTAGAGACCGTCCTACGGTTTGATCATTAGCCGTTCTGAGCTCTAGCCGCCAGAAAACAGATGAAACGATGCATCACAAACATGTCCAAAGTGCTGTTGGTTATCATTGCAATTAACTACATTGGTTAATTCATTTTATGTCCAGCAATACCACTGGATCACAGCTTTAAAGATGAGACATTTCAAATGTTCTCTGGTGTCTTTAGTAGGTCTGGCCTGAGTGGCATTATAACACTGATCCCCCCTCCCCCAACTCCGCCCCCAAACCAATCATGTCTGTGGCCTAAGCCCAAATGGATCACTAGACCCTACAATGCTCTTATCAGATCTGTGCAAGAGCATAGGGCATAGGTAGGTTCTAGGGGTCCATTTAGGATTGGACATGTGAGAGGGGAATGCTTAGCCTGGTTGCCAGTCTCTGTTTAGCTAACATACCACTCTTTGTACTCTATGTCATGTGCCAAAGACATTGGCATATGACAGGAGTGGCAAGGAGTGGAATGATAGCTAAATAGAATGGTACCCAGACTAGGAAATGCTCCCTTCAGTACAAAATGATGATGCTACACTGAGCCGGCATCCATGTTTGATCTCAGATCTCTTGCACATCCACAGGTTGGTCTGTAGTTGCAAGATAAAAAAAGAGAGCCCTAACAGCAGTCCTTAGAACCCTGTTGTGTTTGAGGTCTGATGGCCATATTCTTCAACATTTAAGGAAGGAAACATTTCCTCGCCAATGGATAGCCTACAATGATCCATGTTTCGACCCTGGTTGCTTGCGAGTGCCTCTGAACCGTGTGTATGCTACTTTATCATCCACAGGCAGGAACAGTGGCTTCTGCTATTGCTTTGTTGAGTTGAGGTGCTGATGCTTAATGGTGCTCAGTGACCATTGGTGATCGCCAACAAGATGGACCCCCTCCAAAATAACAAACCCAATTGAATAATACGTGGTTTCTGGGGCAAGTCAAGAACCTCCGTCTTCTTGTGCATGTTTGAATTATCAGGTCGACTTTCACATTTTCATATTGTGTCAATTACAACACGAATACAAAACATGAATTCTTGCAGTGCAAGATGAATCTTACTTTCATCTTTTCCCAGGAATTACACGTTTTGATTGAAAAGGACCCAAGTTATGCAGTGTCAGGCAAACAAGTAAAAGGGTCGGCAGCACCAGCAAGTGATATTGTTTGATGCCATCCTGTTCAAAGTAGAAACAATTCCAAATCGATGACCAGAAAACCGCGTTCGATGTGTCTACAATAAACAAATATACTGCACTTTCACTATAGTTTCAAAGAAAAGGAACTGTAGAACCCTGAGATATTAAATATTTCGGTCTGGCTGTGAACCTCTGTCAAATGGCTGTGTGAACACTGGAGTGCCATTTCCAGGGTCATGTTCATAATAGGGCACATAATGGAAAATGTTTTAAAACCTTTTGCAAAGACAAACTGAACATTTGCATGTCTTATAGTGCAGGTAGTCCCTCCCGGTTTCGTCCAGCTTGCTTCTGTTTGGTGTCTCATGGATATGACCCAGAGCTCTGAAAGAACAACCTTCCACAGCCACAACTAAAGTAGCTAACAGTCGCAGGCGGTTGGTGGCACCTTAATTGGGGAGGACAGTCTCATAGCAATGGCTGGAATGGAATAAATGGAACGGTATTAAACACATCAAACATGGTTTCCTTGCCATTATTGTAATCTGTCCCCCCCTCACCAGCCTCCTGTGCTACCAGCCACAGGTTTAACCCGCTCTTGGCAACACCCAACTAATACAAATCACAGGTTGCAACCCTGACACTCCAGTGAAATGAAACCCTTCCCCAAATAATCTCAAAGAATACATGGATCCCTCTTCAGGAGAGGAGTGGCTATGACTCTGTCTTAAAAGGACAGGAGGAATCAAGGATTTGACAGTGTGTACACTTTTGAGACAGAGCCTAAGTGTTATATAGAAATAAAAAATATAGCAACATATGTTGTTTTGTTAACCAAAAATAGGTATTAAAGTATTAAATAAAGATGGTTGTGTTAATGACAATGTTGTTACATGGAGGTTTTTCCGGTGTCATGGTGGATTGGGAGGGGGTGTGGTGGTGGTGGCTGCTTCTTGATCAATCAATAGTTAATGCAGGTCTGGCAAGGCATGGCCTTAATAACCCTTCATTCTCTCATATTTTCCTCTTTTTACTTCTCTGTGAGCGAGAGCTGCAATATCCTCTCCAGCTCCTCCACTTCCTCCTTCCTCCTCCTCTCCTCCTCCGCCTGGGCCCGGGCCGACAGCTCCATGGCCATGCGGAGGTCCGTGTCGGGGCTGGAGGCCGAGTTGCCCGAGCTGGCCGGACTCGACGTGGTGTCTCCCAAGTCCACCAGCGCCCCCTCTGGGTTGCTTCTGGAACAACAGTGGAGGAGGGATCAGAAAGAGAAGAAAGGATGTTTCTTTCCTGGACGACAGTTGTCCATCGTCAATAACTACTAACTTCCTTTCAAATGCACCTATCCACATACTGCACACACGCCATAGCTGAGAAAATAATGCTTTTAATGCTAAGTTGATTGGACACGTGCTTGCAATACCAGGTCTGTGGGTTTGATTCCCAAAACATGGGCCCGTGGATATATTGTAAATATATGTGCTGATTGGAAGTCACTTTGGACAACTGAATAGCGTAGCCAATGATGTGCATGAATACTTGGTGTACCTGGCCTGAACCTTAGTGACTGTTCTACTCAGCTAGCACCCGGTACTCAACCCTGCACCTTAGAGAATAAATAAATAAATAATATGCCATTTAGCAGATGCTTTTATCCAAAGCGACTTACAGTCATGTGTGCATACATTTTGTGTATGGGTGGTCCCGGGGATCGAACCCACTACCTTGGCGTTACAAGCGCCGTGCTCTACCAGCTGAGCTACAGAGGACCACAGAATGCTGCCCTATGTACATAGTCATTGAACACTGGTCACTTTAATAATCTTTACATACTGTTTTACTTACTTCATATGTATATACTGTATTCTAGTCAAGGCTCATCCTATATAACTACTGCTGTACACACCTTTTCTATTCACATACTGTCCATACTGTCTATACACACCATTATACTACACACACACATACACACACACGCAGGACTCTGACATTGCTCGTTCTGATATTTCTTCATTTCTTTCTTTGTATTTTGGGGATTTGTGTGTATTGTTTTATATTGTTAGGTATACTGCATTGTTGGAGCAAGAAACATAAGCATTTCACTGCACCTGCGATAACATCTGCAAAATATGTGTACGCGACCAATACAATTTGATTTGATTTACCTGTCACTCTGGCTACTGAGCATAGGGTCCGTGAGGTCCCCATTGGCATCTTCCCAGGTCACTTCCTAGAGGACAGAACAAAGGGTGGAGTAGGTGAGGTAAAATGCTTGGCACATCGCAGATAGAACTGGTAGAAATGTAACGGACATAATTCCCTATAATATCAGTTCTACACAATCGGTTTTGTAACATTGTGGCCTCCTGAACAGACACAGGCCCCAGGTCAAAAGATGAGAAGTGAGGCAGAGGAGGCCGTGAGAGCAAGAGGACCTGACGGGGAGTGAACGAGATGAGTAGGAGGGGTGTGTGTGTGTGTGTGGCGTCTCTGACCTGTCCCGGGTCTCCACCACCGGACTCCAGCAGACTCTGGTGGATGGCATACTGCAGTAACTCCTCGTCGTGGTTGGATACGGGCATGTGGCGGCTGCCGCCCCCTCCTCTGTGGCGGTAGTGTGCAGGCACCTCAAACACAGAGGGACACACCTGGAATAGCGGGGGAACTGGAGGGAACAGAAATAGACAATGTTGTTATTATTGGTAGGCTGTCAATAGATATTTCCAATGAAATTGATATGGATACATCACTTAGCAGACACTCTTATCCAGAGCGACTTACAGGAGCAATTAGGGTTAAGTGCCTTGTACAAGGGCACATCCACAGAGTTTTCACCTAGTCGGCTTGGCGATTCGAACCAGCAAACTTTTGGTTACTGGCGCTCTTAACCGCTAAGCTACCTGCCGCCCCCCAAACATACAAACATTCATACTGGTTGTTTAGCTGTCAGAAGCAACTGAATAAATTAATTTGAGAAATTACTAAATGTGTAATTTGTTTTGTTCATAATGACCCCATGGGGACGAATGCTGCAGTCACCTGACCTGGGTCAACGGCATGAGTGTATCTACCTGCATCTTCACTGCCCTCCTCCTCCGAGGGTGTGGGCGTGGCAGCCGAGGGTGGCGTGTCCAGGGGTTCGCCCGTACAGCATTTGTTGACACCGCCAAATGAAATGCGGGCGTTGAGCACGTGGAACAGGGGAATCTCTGTGTGAGAGGAAACAAAGACGGGTAACCTTCATGGATCCCGTTATTTAAAAGCAAATGCCTTTCATAGTGGTACTTTGTGAGTATGTGTGTGTGCCGTTTTTCTCAATCAGGGGCCATATTTATCAAGCGGGTCAGAGTATGAGTGCTGATTTAGGGTAAGTTTTGCTTTATAGTTCACATAGAATAAGATTATATGGACAGGGGGCCTGATCCTAGATCAGCGCTCCTCTGAGATGAATGAGCTGAGCGGCACAAGCATTTTGTGTAAACATTCTCATTTTGTCACTCTTTTCCACGGAGGTGTAACTGTACCTATTTTTACAGGGAACCCTGGAGGGAACTTGAGGGTGACAAAATCCTGTAGCCGGGCGAAGTGGGTGCTGGTCCGGGCCATGAGATCGATGATAGGGGTGACCTGCTCCACCAGGGAGAGAGGGTGTTCCTCGCTCATCCACAATGTGCCCTTGAACCTGGACACATCAGGGCCATATTCATTAGTGGACACCAGAGCAAAACATTTTGCAAAGGAAACAAAAACATGCGTTTCTTATTGGACAAGTTCAGGTAGTCTCTCCCTGTTTCAGTATGTTTTCTTCAGTTTGGTGCCTAATGAATACGACCCAGAATAAACAGGTCATCCTGTTTGAGGGATCAGTTTGAGCAACGGGAGGCGAAGAATCACTAATCTTAATCACATCTTGAGTAGTTATTTGGAATGCAGGGTGATTTGTAGATTACGCGCAGTCCAACTGAACTGCAATGTAGTCCCATCTCAATCCAACCACCCTTACGCTAAAACCTAGACACCAACACCTTTATATGAACTGAGGGAAACCATTATAAAAAAAATCAAGACTTCTGATGACATGAATATTGATGAGAAAGCCTTGCTCTCTCGGAGGCTTTGCAGCATCATTTTCTTACTTCTGGGTTCGGATGCTGAGTTCAATGGGCCGGCCAATGTCTCTGTCTTCAAGGTCAAACTCAGGGTCAAAGTACTCCTCTGGTGTGATGGCGGTGGGGTTGGTGGCTGTTGCATACTCCAGAGTGAGGTCCTATCCACAATATGAACAGAGTCGCGCATTCTTAATGAACCCATTACAAACCAAGTTGAGTGTTCTTATTGAAGCCAATATGAACCAAGACGAAGCATTCTTACTGAATCTGTTACAAGTCAAAAAGGCAAGTACGATTCTGTTTATGTAGCTAAGTAATAAAACAATTAGATGAGATAATCCTCCATAACCTCAAATCCTGGTCTACTGATCTCTTACCCCTTGAGCGCTTATCTGCTGCTCCACAGTCCCAAGAAGAGACTCCAGAACATTCCTCTCACCTAGAAGACAAAAAAAGAGACAATATAGACGATGCGTTATTGATGTCAGACACAGGGCTGTTCTCCAACAAGTCCCCTCCTAAACCGAGCCAGGCCATTTTGGTTCAGTGTACTCTCTCTGGGTTATTATAGCTGTGCAAGTGTCTCCTAGTGTAACACTTTGACTAAAGTTGCTGCTTATTAAACATTGAGATGAGGACCATCTCTCGTAGACCAGAAGTAGCGCACTACATAGCGAAAGAGTGCCATTTCAGACGCAGACTAATTGTTGTTCTGTCTCTCTACCTCCACCTAGAGGAATTATAGAGTGCATACTTTTTATTCTAGTTTTCTCCTCATCGGTGAGATGCTCTGTCCTCGTCCGGATCACCACGTTTACATTGTTCACAGTGAAAACCTGCAATGAAAAGAAAAACAACTCATGCAGTATACAGCATACTATTCTTCCCTTTACTGCTACTAAAAGGAAAAAACACTACTGAACATTTAAAAAAAGCTGGCAATCTACTGTAGATATTGTCAAATTAAAGGGGCAATAAGCAGTTGCTACATCAATTTTTGGATTTGTAAATGAATTATATGTACCCATTGATTCTTGAAGAATATAACTTAAAAATGCCTCATGAGCTTAGTTCAACTGTCATACCCCATCAGAACCCAAAATATAAGCTTGTTTAAATGTAAACAAACACTATATAGCCCCAGAACATGATTAAAACTATAATTTTGATATTATGGATGGTCGGTCCAACACATTTATAGCTCTGTCTATGAATTTGAGATCGGTTACATCTCTCCAGCATCATCCCTCAGCCTTTTACCAAAACAGGGGTGAGGAGGATGCTTTGTTATTGTTTCTACTGCTGATTGCAGCTTTAAAGAAAGGGACTTGTGTAAGGTCAGCAAACCTTGACAAGCAACAAAATAATTTAATATTAACAGCGCAAGAATGCTATAATAAATGCACAAACCTTAGCCTCGAAACCATTGACAACTTCTGTTTTGTCACTCCTCCAACCCCAAATCCCAGACTTATTTCTGTGGAAAACAATTTAGAGTCCTGTTACTATAAAACCCTGTACAATTTACTTGTCCTTCAACAAAGACATATGACAAAAAAAAAAAAAAAAAATCTTGCCTCTCAAAAGCAATGTGCCTGGTATCGAGAAAAGTGTTGACGATGGGCGTGGTTAGCCGCTTGGCCACTTCCTGTTCGGCAGGTTGCATGGAGTCCAATGTTACATCCTCTATCTCCCGGGAGATGTCAAAGCGTTCCGTGTCCACCACCTCTTCGTCATGGTTCACCTCCAACAACTCAGTGCAGGTATCTGCCAATGGGCACAAGCACACACTGTGAAACATACGCTAACAGAGTACCGTATTTTCTCACTATAAGGCGCACTTAAAAGCCTTTAATTTTCTCAAAAAACGACAGTGCGCCTTATAATCCGGAGCGCCTTATATATGGATCAATTGGTTAATTGGTTGATCCATACTGGTTGTACACGGCGCTCAAGGCGCTCTGTCAAAATGTTTCAGTATGAAAAACCAATAAAAACAATTTAATAATAATGAAATGTTTCAGTACGACTGGTAAACTACAAAGCCGCACCGCTTGCAGCATTACGGCTACCGTAGTCAGTAAACACCGGTACTGTGCTTACTCACAGTCCCACACCACTTGTGTGTGTATAAAGACCCCAAAATTGTTGTCAGAACGCTTAATAAAGTTTGACTTTATCTGACTGTTTTGTTGACATTCCCTTTAGCACAGCTCCATCTAGTGGATGCATAACGCAACCCCAGTCAAACGTTTGACTGCAGTATCTTCTATTCTATGCGCCTTATAATCCGGTGCGCCCTATCTATGAAAACAGTTCTAAAATAGGCCATTCATTGAATGTGCGCCTTATAATCCGGTGCGCCTTATAGTGCGGAAAATACGGTAAAAGACGAGGTAAAAGATGAGACGGCCTGCTGAAACAGTGGTCAGTAGGACGCCGTTGTGTGCAAGCCTTACTCAGGGAAAAAGGGACTTACCATCTCCTCTGAAGATGTAGCTCCGACGACCTCTGATCCAAGTCATGTTCTCGAAGCCCAGCAGAGTGGCGTCCACACGCAGGCTGGCTCCGCTCTTCCAGATCCGACACACATCACTGGGACAAACCCGGGACACGAGGGGGACTGGGAACAGATGGGAAAGCAATGTAAACAACAACGTCTCAAACATCCACACATAGCACAATCTAATGGCGGGGTTATCAACTAGAACTTACTCCAACTTGTGAACTCCCATTTCATTTCCATGTAGAAATCCGGGGACTGGGGGGGATTGGAAAGAGGCATGAGTTACTTAAATGTGATGAGTGAAAAACATTTCAGAGAGGGGAGCAAACAGAGAGAGTAAGAACACCTCACGGATCTTGCTCAGAAGCTCAGGCACTCCTCCCAGGGCTGTAGAGGCTTTGAGGTAGTCTCTCCGCTGGAGCACTAGCTGAACCATCTCTGGGTCGCCGGTGCTGACCGCCTCCTGCAGCACTACACACAAACATGTTTATGATGAGAAGTTATTTTAAACATATAACACACTTCTGTGATAACAAATGTATACAAAATAAATAATTGTTTTGGCCAGCATCAACTAGTAAGCTGTGTGTGTAGTAACAAGAGGTATTGTGTGATGCACTGGAAAGAAATACTGTCTCACTTCAACTGGAATAGAGGCACCTACCGATTCAGGCATACATGTTGTGTGAAATTGTTACTGAAACGCCCACTGTGCATATGTGGAAGTGATTTTGATCACACAATTTAACAACTAACAAATAGACCTACACCAAGGCGTGTCAGATGAAGGCATAGCCATATACAGTGCCTTCAGAAAGTATTCAAACCCCTTGACTTATTCCACATTTTGTTGTGTTACAGCCTGAATTCAAAATGTATTAAATAAATACATCTCACCCATCTACACACAATATCCCATAATGACAATGTGAAAACATGTTTTTCGAAATGTTGGCAAATTTATTGAAAATGAAATACAGAAATATCAATTTACATAAGTATTCACACCCCTGAGTCAATACATGTTACAATCAACTTTGGCAGTGATTACAGCTGTGTCTTTCTGGGTAAGTCTCTAAGAGTTTTGTGTGTAGATGGGTGAGAAAATAAATCTGTTTAATCCATTTCTGGGTGACCTAAATATTGACTGGCTTTCATCAAGCTGCCCACTCAAGAACATTTGCTGGTCTGTGGTGTGTAATGAGGAACAACCAGATGCTGTACTTGACACATTTATGAAATTGCTTATTCCAGTTACTAATAAGCATGCACCCATTAACAAAATGACTGTAAAAATTGTTAAATCCTGGTGGATTGATGAGGAATTGAAAAATGTTATGGTTGAGAGGGATGAGGCAAAAGGAATGGGAAATAAGTCTGGCTGCACAGCAGATTGGCGAACGTACTGTAAATTGAGAAACCATGTGACTACACTGAACAAAAAGAAGAATAAACTGTACTATGAAACAAAGATAAATTATATAAAGAACGATAGTAAAAAGCTTTGGAGCACCTTAAATGAAATTTTGGGCCAAAAGGCGAACTCGGCTCCATCATTCATTGAATCAGATGGCTCATTCATAACAAAACCCACTGATATTGCCAACTACTTTAAGGATTTTTTCATTGGCAAGATTAGCAAATTTAGGCATTACATGCCAACAACAAATTCTGAACCTACACATCCATGCATAACTGACCAAATTATGAAAGACAAGCATTGTAATTTTGAATTCTGTAAAGTGAGTGTGGAAGGGGTGAAATAATTATTGTTGTCTATCAACAATGACAAGCCACCTGGGCCTGACAACTTAGATGGAAAATTACTGAGGATGATAGCGGACGATATTGCCACTCCTATTGGCTATCTCTTCAATCTAAGCCTACAGGAAAGTGTGTGCCCTCAGGCCTGGAGGGAAGCAAAGGTCATTCCGCTACCCAAGAATAGCAAACCAGCCTTTACAGGCTCAAGCAGCCGACTAATCAGACTGTTACCAACCCTTAGTAAACTTTTGGAAAATTGGTGTTTGACCAGATACAATGCTATTTCACAGTAAACAAATTAACAACAGATTTTCAGCACGCTTATAGTGAAGGGCATTCAACATGTACGGCACTTACACAAATGACTGATGATTGGGTGAGAGAAATTGATCATATAAATATTGTGGGAGCTGTTTTGTTAGACTTCAGTGCAGCTTTTGACATTATCGATCATAATCTGCTGCTGGAAAAACGTAGGTGTTATGGCTTTACATCCCCTGCTATATTGTAATAATAATAATAATAATAATAATATGCCATTTAGCAGACGCTTTTATCCAAAGCGACTTACAGTCATGCGTGCATACATTTATTTATTTTTTTGTGTATGGGTGGTCCCGGGGATCGAACCCACTACCTTGGCGTTACAAGCGCCGTGCTCTACCAGCTGAGCTACAGATTGAGAGTTACCTGTCTAACAGAACACAGAGGGTGTTCTTTAATGGAAAGCTTCTCTAACATAACCCAGGTAGAGTCAGGCATTCCCTAGGGAAGCTGTCTAGGCCCCTTACTTTTTTCAATCTTTACTAATGACCTGCCACTGGCTCTAAGTAACTGCCTGTGTGTCTATGTATGCTGATGACTCAACACTATACATGTTAGCTACCACAGCAAGTGAAATCACTGCAACACATAACAAAAAGAGCTGCAGTCAGTTTCAGAATGGGTGGCAAGAAATACGTTTGTTCTAAATATTTCAAAAACTAAAAGCATTGTATTTGGGACAAATCATTCACAAACCCTAAAGCTCAACTAAATCCTGTAATTAATAATGTGGAAATTGAGCAAGTTGAGGAGACTAAACTGCTTGGAGTAACCCTGGATTGTAAACTGTCATGGTCAAAACATATTGATGCAACAGTAGCTAAAATGGGGAGAAGTATGTCCATAATTAAGCGCTGCTCTGCCTTCTTAACAACACTATCAACAAAGCAGGTCCTACAGGCCCTAGTTTGTCGCACCTGGACTACTTTCCAGTCATGTGGTCAGGTGCTACAAAGAGGGACTTAAGAAAATTACAATTGGCCCAGAACAGGGCAGCATGGCTGACCCTTAAATGTACACGGAGAGCTAACATTAATAATATGCATGTCAATCTCTCCTGGCTCAAAGTAGAGGAGAGCTTGACTGCATCACTACAGTACTTGTCTTTGTGAGAGGTATTGACATGTTGAAAGTACCGAGCTGTCTGTTTAAACTACTAGCCCACAGCTCAGACACCCATGCATACCCCACAAGACATGCCACCAGAGGTCTCTTCACAATCCCCAAGTCCAGAACAGACTATGGGAGGCACACAGTACTACATAGAGCAATGACTACATGGACATCTATTCCACACCAAGTAACTCATGCAAGCAGTAAAATCAGACTTAAAAAACAGATAAAAAATACACCTTATGGAACAGCGGGGATTGTGAAGAGACACACACACGCGCGATAGCATACGCACTATACACAGATGTACACATGGATTTTGTGTTGTAGAGTAGTGGCCTGAGGGCACACACTTAATATGTTGTGAAATGTAATGTAATGTTTTTAATTTTGCTGGACCCCAGGAACAGTAGCTGCTGCCTTGGCATAATAAATACAAATACACCTGGATTGTACAATATTTGCACATTATTCTTAAAATAATTATTCAAGCTCTGTTAAGTTGGTTGTTGATCATTGCTAGACAGCCATTTTCAAGTCTTGACATTGATTTTCAAGCCGATTTAAGTCAAAACTGTAACTAGGCCACGCAGGAACATTCAATGTTGTGTTGGATTTCTCCCAAACATAACGCTTTGTATTCAGGACATAAATCTAATTTCTTTGCCACATTTTTTGCAGTTTTACTTTAGTGCCTTGTTGCAAGCAGGATGCATGTTTTGTCATATTTTTATTCTCTACAGGCTTCCTTCTTTTCACTCTGTCATTTAGGTTAGTATTATGGAGTAACTACAATGTTGTTGATCCATCCTTGGTTTTCTCCAATCATAGCCATTAAACTCTGTAACTGTTTTAAAGTCACCATTGGCCTCATGGTGAAATCCCAGAGCGGTTTCATTCCTCTCTGGCAGCTGAGTTAGGAAGCACCCCTGTATCTTTGTAGTGACTGTGTGTATTGATACACCATCCAAAGTGTAATTAATAACTTCACCATGCTCAAAGGGATATTCAATGTCTGCTTTTTTTTTACCCATCTACCAATAGGTGCCCTTCTTTGCGAGGCATTGGAAAACCTCCCTGGTCTTTGTGGTTGAATCTGTGTTTGAAATTCACTGCTCGACTGAGGGACCTTACAGATAATTGTATGTGTGGAGTACAGAGTTGAGGTAGTCATTCAAAAATCATGTTAAACACTATTATTGCACACAGAGTAAGTCCATGCATCTTATTATTTGACTTGTTAAGCACATGTTTACTCCTGAACTAATTTAGGCTTGCCATAACAAAGGGGTTGAATACTTATTGACTCAAGACATTTCAGCTTTTAATTTTGAACTAATTTGTAAACATTTATAAAAATCTTAAATTCAGGCTGTAACATAACAAAATGTCTAAAAAGTAAAGGGGTGTGAATACTTTCTAAAAGGTACTGTAAATAGCATGTGGAATTCATCATATTAATAATAAACATTTACACTTGGACAACTGTAGTGTGTGATGTAGAATAGCCTGCCCAACCTGTCCAATTCTTGGTGTTCTCTTTGGTAACTTCAGCACCATGTCTCAGAAGCACTCTCACTGACTCCAGGTGTCCCAGTGACACAGCCAGGTGGAGCGGTGTTCTTCCCCTGGGATCCACAGCCTCGATGTCATTCTGAAAGAAACAAACAAACATTGCAATGCCTTCAAAAGCTACCTAAAGAGAATTGCACATCAGATCGATGTCATACACACTGGAAGCATAGAGATCCTATTAAATTATTAGCTAGTTTTCTCATTCCTAATTCTATGCTGGAAGCTACATTGCCTGTTAAAGACTCAAACAATTCCAATGGAGTAAAAACACCATATATTTGGGTTATGATAGGGAAAGACAGTTATAAGCTTGAGGCGTTTCTATTCTTCAAGAATCAGTGGGTACCTGGGGTGTATTCATTAGTCGGTTGCAAAACGTTTTGCAACAGAAATTGTTTACTCTAAACTAGGGATGGACATGGTTATTCGAATATCTGAATGGACATTTGTATTCGATTACTTGGGAGAGTACTCATTTTGAGAAAAGGAATAGGCCTATACTTTTTTTTAATGAAAAGTCTTTGTCTAAAATGTAATTATCTATGTGACATTGCTACATAGCTTACAAGGATAGACCATTACATTCAACAATTTAATAAAACAGTTTTATGACAGTTTTTATGAGTGCATCTATGTCGGTCAATCAAAGCGGCGCTACAGTCAGAGGCTCTCTGTGTAGTTAGAGATTTCTAATCAATGCAAAATGGAATAAAAATTAAGGAATTAAGTTGGCGGAGTAATGAGGAGTAGGCTACAATGATCAACCAACAGGTAGGCTGTTGTTTCATATGAATGGAGTTCAGTGGAGGCTGGTGGGAGGAGCTATAGGAGGATGGCTCATTGTAATAGCTGGAATGGAATTAATGGAACGGAGTCAAACATGTGGTTTCCATATGTTTGATGTGGTTTGATACCGTTCCATTACTCTCCTCCTATAGCTCTTCCCACCAGCCTCCACTGATGGAGTTGTTGTAGACAAGGACTGGGGAGCGCAGCAAAATAGCCTCAATTAGCTTTACTACTTTAGCTAGCTAGCTGGCTAACTTAGCTGGCTACTGTAGCTAACTAGCTTCTTTACAATGATTTGATGCAGTCAAGACAGGAACTAACCGATGGTATGATAGATAAACAAACTTGTTGCTGCCATAAGTTAAGTAGCGAGTCAGTTTGGCTACTTTCTCTCACTCTCTCCCTCTGTGCCACACACATACAGTGGGGGAAAAAATGTATTTAGTCAGCCACCAATTGTGCAAGTTCTCCCACTTAAAAAGATGAGAGAGGCCTGTAATTTTCATCATAGGTACACGTCAACTATGACAGACATATTGAGAAAAAAAAATCCAGAAAATCACATTGTAGGATTTTTTATGAATTTATTTGCAAATGATGGTGGAAGATAAGTATTTGGTCACCTACAAACAAGCAAGATTTCTGGCTCTCACAGACCTGTAACTTCTTCTTTAAGAGGCTCCTCTGTCCTCCACTCGTTACCTGTATTAATGGCACCTGTTTGAACTTGTTATCAGTATAAAAAACACCTGTCCACAACCTCAAACAGTCACACTCCAAACTCCACTATGGCCAAGACCAAAGAGCTGTCAAAGGACAACCAGAAACAAAATTGTAGACCTGCACCAGGCTGGGATGACTGAATCTGCAATAGGTAAGCAGCTTGGTTTGAAGAAATCAACTGTGGGAGCAATTATTAGGAAATGGAAGACATACAAGACCACTGATAATCTCCCTCGATCTGGGGCTCCACGCAAGATCTCACCCCATGGGGTCAAAATGATCACAAGAACGGTGAGCAAAAATCCCAGAACCACATGGGGGGACCTAGTGAATGACCTGCAGAGAGCTGGGACCAAAGTAACAAAGCCTACCATCAGTAACACACTACGCCGCCAGGTACTCAAATCCTGCAGTGCCAGACGTGTCCCCCTGCTTAAGCCAGTACATGTCCAGGCCCGTCTGAAGTTTGCTAGAGTGCATTTGGATGATCCAGAAGAGGATTGGGAGAATGTCATATGGTCAGATGAAACCAAAATATAACTTTTTGGTAAAAACTCAACTCGTCGTGTTTGGAGGACAAAGAATGCTGAGTTGCATCCAAAGAACACCATACCTACTGTGAAGCATGGGGGTGGAAACATCATGCTTTGGGGCTGTTTTTCTGCAAAGGGACCAGGACGACTGATCCGTGTAAAGGAAAGAATGAATGGGGCCATGTATCGTGAGATTTTGAGTGAAAACCTCCTTCCATCAGCAAGGGCATTGAAGATGAAACGTGGCTGGGTCTTTCAGCATGACAATGATCCCAAACACACCGCCCGGGCAACGAAGGAGTGGCTTCGTAAGAAGCATTTCAAGGTCCTGGAGTGGCCTAGCCAGTCTCCAGATCTCAACCCCATAGAAAATCTTTGGAGGGAGTTGAATGTCCGTGTTGCCCAGCGACAGCCCCAAAACATCACTGCTCTAGAGGAGATCTGCATGGAGGAATGGGCCAAAATACCAGCAACAGTGTGTGAAAACCTTGTGAAGACTTACAGAAAACGTTTGACCTGTGTCATTGCCAACAAAGGGTATATAACAAAGTATTGAGAAACTTTTGTTATTGACCAAATACTTATTTTCCACCATAATTTGCAAATAAATTCATTAAAAATCCTACAATGTGATTTTCTGGATTTTTTTTCTCATTTTGTCTGTCATAGTTGACATGTACCTATGATGAAAATTACAGGCCTCTCTCATCTTTTTAAGTGGGAGAACTTGCACAATTGGTGGCTGACTAAATACTTTTTTCCCCCACTGTACTGTCACACACACTGGCCCCGGCTCCTCTCTCGCCCCTCCCCCACCAGCGCACCGACTCCATCTCTCGAGTTGTGTGAGTAAGTCTCCATTGAAGTGTACCCATGTTTTCGACTATCCGGATATACGAAAAAATGTCATGATATTATTAGAATACTGAAATCATTTCAAATGCCCATCCCTACTCCAAATGGAAAACGTTTTGCAACAAAATCGAGGGTTTCTATTGGTAGGGACGTGAAACGTTCAGGAGGCTTTAGTCTAGAGCAGGGTTCTTCAATTCCGGTCCTGGAGGGCCGAAACACCTCTGTTTTTCATCCTCTCCTTCTAATCAGGGGCTAATTCAGATTGCAATTAACTACCAGGTAGAAATAAAAAACAGAACTGTTTCGGCCCTCCAGGACCAGAATTGAAGAACCCTGGTCTAGAGCGTGGGTTTGAGCCTTGGGCTGCGGCAGCGCATAAAGTGTGCATTATCAGGGTTACCACAGTTTCCTGAGGGTTTGAGCCTTGGGCGGCTGTGGCAGCGCACGAGTACACAGTTTCAAGGTTAGTGCAGGTTTCATGTGGGTTTTAACCTCGGGCTGCCATGGTTCATCGACGCTATGCAGCGCGCGTGCCCTTTACCAAGTCACAACAGGTGTTCTGTTATTTTGGTCTTGCGGCTCCTTGTACGAGTTCTGACATTTCAGGCTCGCAAGGTAAGTATTGTTCTTGGAACCGTGGGGTCTATGGACTTGGGCTGCAGTGGCAGCGTGTCAGTGTGCACAGCCAGGTTGCAGCAGGTTCTATATGGGGCTCTGACAGTTCAGGCTTCTCGGGTAAGTATTATTGGGGGAAAAGTGGCTTCTGTAACCCCTTTTTGGAGCCGGTGGAACCTGTGTGTGCTTAGGCTGCTGTGGGACTCCTATTTTGGTACCCTCTGAGCCAGTTTGGGGCGTGATTGTATGTGGGGCGTGATTGTATGTCCACATATTATGTTATACAGAGTGACCGACTGAATGGGAACGTACAGTTATGAATATAACTACTGTTCCCTGAATGAGGGAACGAGGTATAACATATTTTGGCCACGCGGCGTCAGTGGGTTGGGCTAACTGAAGAGTGGTACTGAATTGAGGAAATTAATTAGAGGTCCGGTATTATAGCCAGGAAGGCAGGGCTATCGAGGGCGGGCTCTGCATCCATTGGCCATATTGGCGTGTTTTCAGGTGAATATGATTGGTCATTGACTCCCCTTAGTATGATATACCTCGTTCCCTCCTTCAGGGAACAGTTGTTCTATTCATAACTGTACGTTTGTTCCCTTTTCCGTGATGGCAGCCTCCCGAAATCAACATCCGATATTCAAAAATATAGATATAAGGCTTCTAGAAATTCTCATCTAACCAACCATGTACAGGTTATTCCAAGTTTCTGTGTGGCCTTTGAATAGTGTTAGTTTAAACAGCACCACACCCCAAACGTTTGCCCCCTGTTCTAGTGCTTTCAACGTGATAGATGGAAGTGATTAACAAAAAAATTGTTGCATTACACTTACCGCATTGGCGACCCACTTGAAATCAAAATGCAACAATTCAAAATGTAGCTAGCAGTCTTCTACAAATTGTCCTCTAACCAGTGATGTACACATTATTCCCAGATTACGTGTGGTTTGTGAGCCGTGTTAGTTAACAGGACATGCAACCTCATGTCCCCCTCTCACGCAATTGATTTCAACGTGATAATCGATATAAGTGATTGAAAAAACTGTGTTGCATTTCTCTTTCTGTTTTGGTGACCCCCATATCAAAATGCAACATTCCAAAATGTAGCTCATTGTGTTCTGCAGGTTGTCCTCTAACCAGTGATGTAAAAAATATCTCCAGTTTCCATTTAATTTTTTAGTTGTGGTATTTTTGAACAGCGCATGATTACTATTGTTCCAAATGTACAGTGCCTTCAGAAAGTATTCACACCCCTTGACTTTTTCCACATTTTGTTGTTACAGCCCGAATTTAAAATGGGTTAAATTGATTTTTTGGTCTCTGGCCTACACACACACACAAAGTGGAATTATATTATTTGACATTTTTACAAATTAATTAAAAATAAAAAGCTGAAATGTCTTGAGTCAATAAGTATTCAACCCCTTTGTTATGGCAAGCCTAAATAAGTTCAGGAGTAAAAATGTGCTTAACAAGTCACATAATAAGTTGCATGGACTCACTCTGTGTGCAATAATAGTGTTTAACATGATTTTTGAATGACTACCTCAACTCTGTATCCCACACATACAATTATCTGTAAGGTCCCTCAGTCGAGCAGTGAATTTCAAACACAGATTCAACCACAAAGACTAGGGAGCTTTTCCAATGCCTCGCAAAGAAGGGCACCTATTGGTAGATGGGTAAAAAAAAAGCAGACACTGAATATCCCTTTGAGCATGGTGAAGTTATTAAATACACTTTGGATGGTGGATCAATACACCCAGCTACTAAAAAAGATACAGGGGTCCTTCCTAACTTAGTTGCCGGGGAGGAAGGAACTGCTCAGGGATTTCACCATAAGGCCAATGGTGACTTTAAAACAGTTACATAGTTTAATGGCTGTGATAGGAGAAAACGGAGGATGGATCAACAACATTGTAGTTACTCCACAATACTAACCTAATTGACAGAGTGAAAATAAGGAAGCCTGTACAGAATATTCCAAAACATTTGTCCTGTTTGGAGCAAGGCAAGGTAATACTGCAAAAAATAGGTGGCAAAGTAATTAACTTTTTGTCCAGAATACAAAATGTTATGTCTGGGGCAAATCCAATACAACACATTACTTTGTACCACTCTCCATATTTTCAAGCATAGTGATGGCTGCATGGGTATGCTTGTAATAGTTAAGGACTGGGGAGTTTTTCCAGGATAAAATGGTTTCAGTCTGCTTTCCACCAGACACTGGGAGATGAATTCACCTTTCAGCAGGACAATAACCTAACACACAAGGCCAAATCTACACTGGAGTTGCTTACCAAGAAGACAGTGAATGTTCCTGAGTGGCCGAGTTACAGTTTTGACTTAAATCTGCCTGAAAATCTATGGCAAGACTTCAAAATGATTGTCTTGCAATGATCAACAACCAATTTGACAGAGCTGGAATATTTTTTTTAAGAATAATGGGCAAATATTGTACAATCCAGGTGTGCAAAGCTTTTGGAGACTTACCCAGAAAGACTCACAGCTGTAATCTCTGCCAAATGTGATTTTAACATGTATTGACTCCGGATGTGAATACTTATGAAAATGAGATATTTCTGTATTTCATTTTCAATATATTTGCAAAAATTTCTAAAAACATGTTTTCACTTTGACATTATGGGGTATTGTGTGTAGTAGATGGGTGAGAAAATAAAATCGATTTAATCCATTTTGAATTCAGGTTGTAACAACAAAATGTGGAATAAGTGAAGGGATATGAATACTTTCTAAAGGCTCAGTATGTGTAGAGAGTACATTTTATGTTTTCAATATATAACGATCTGTTTCTGCATATTGGTCATTGATTTGGACACTTTAAAACAGTTTTGACATTGGGCTATTTATCAAAATGTTTTGTCAACAGGAAGCAGCGACAGCATCATTTTTAACTTAAGTTTTAGGAATATAAATTGAACTTTCAACATTAATTTCTAATGGTATTGTACTTAAATCAGGTAAAAACTGCTGAATGAGTCCAAAAACGTGCTGCGATTTATTTATTTTGATGAACAAGTGAACAAAAATCAGTCAATTGAAATAAATTAATATATGGATTTCACGACTGGGAATACATATATGCATCTGTTGGTCACTGATACCTTTTTTTCCAAAAGGTAGGGACGTGGATCAGAAAACCAGTCAGTATCCGGTGTGACCACGATTTGTCTCATGCAACGTGACACATCTCCTTCACATAGAGTTGATCAGGATGTTGATTGTGGCCTGTGGAATGTTGTCCCGCTCCTCTTCAATGAATGTGTGAAGTTTCTGGATATTGGTGGGAAGTGGAACACGCTGTCGTACACGTCAATCCAGAGCATCCCAAATATGCTTAATGGGTTACATGTCTGGTGAGTATGCAGGTCATGGAAGAACTGGGACATGTTCGGCTTCCAGGAATTGTGTACAGGTCCTTGCGACATGGGGCCGTGCATTGTAGCTGCTTTACGTGATGCATTGTTGTCTCTACCTTCTTGCCCTCTGTGCTGTTGTCTGTGCCCAATAATGTTTGTACCATGTCTTGTGCTGCTACCATGTTGTAATGCTGCCACCATGTTGTTTTCATGTTGGGTTGCTACCTTGCTGTGTTGTCGTGTGTTGCTGCCATGCTATGTTGTCTTAGTTCTCTCTTTATGTAGTGTTGTCTCGTTTTTTTTTTTTTTTTTACATTTGAGTCATTTAGCAGACGCTCTTATCCAGGGCGACTTACAGTTAGTGAGTGCATACATAATTTTTTTATTTTTCATACTGGCCCCCCGTGGGAATCGAACCCACAACCCTGGCGTTGCAAACGCCATGCTCTACCAACTGAGCTACATCCCTGCCGGCCATTCCCACCCCTACCCTGGACGACGCTGGGCCAATTGTGCACCGCCCCATGGGTCTCCCGGTCGCGGCCGGCTACGACAGAGCCTGTTGTGATGTGTTTGGTCCTACATTTATATTAATTTTTTAAATCCCAGCCTTTCTGCCTTTTGGTAGGCCGTCATTGTAAATAAGAATTTGTTCTTAACTGACTTTTGAATTGGGATTCATCCGTGAAGAGCACACTTGTCCAGCGTGCCAGTGGCCATTGAAGGTGAGCATTTGCCCACTGAAGTCGGTCACGACGCCGAACTGCAGTCAGGTCACGACCCTGGTGAGGACGACTAGAAAACAGATGAGCTTCCCTGAGAAGGTTTCTGACAGTTTGTGATGAAATTCTTCGGTTGTGCAAACCCAGTTTCATCAGCTGTCCGGGTGGCTGGTCTCAGACGATCCCGCAGGTGAAGACGCCGGATGTGGAGGTCCTGGGCTTGCGTGGTTACACGTAGTTTGCGGTTCTGAGGCCGGTTGGACGTACTGTCAAATTCTCTAAAACATTAATTTATCTGGCAACAGCTCTGGTGGACATGGCTGCAGTCAGCATGCCAATTGCACGCTCCCTCAAAACTTGAGACATATGTGGCATTGTGTTGTGTGACAGAACTGCACAATTTAGAGTGGTATTTTATTGTCCCCAGCACAAGGTGTGTAATGATCATGCTGTTTAATCAGCTTCTTGATATGTCAAAGCTGTCAGGTGGATGGATTATTTTGGCAAAGAAGAAATGCTCACTAAGAGGGATGTAAACAAATTTGTGCACAACATTTTTGAGAAATAAGTTTTTTGTGCATATGGAACATTTCTGGGATCTTTTATTTCAGCTTGTTGCATTTATATTTTTGTTCAGTGTAGACCCGAGATCACAAAAACGGGTTTCCCTGCCTACTATTGGGACAAATTCTGGGCGTAATCATTACCCCATGCAACAAAAACTAGCGTTTCTATTGGATACATTTACGTAGGTCCCGCCCTGTTTGCTGAACCTGTCCAATAGGAACGCTTTGTAACTGTTTGGCGTAATGATTAGGCCTGGAGAGGAAGAGGAAAAGAGAGTCCCAATTTGGCAGAAAATCTGTCTCGCTCCAGCAGGAGGCTTTTTGTTGTTGTTTCACTCACCAAGCAAGGAGTTTTTGTATGGAGGGCAATGAGAGTTTCGTATTTGGTTTAAACAAATAAAACAATGGCTTAATTGCTATGTGGTGTTTATTTGATCGAATAGAAGTTTCGTAATGATTACGTTTTTTACGAGTGTACCGATATAAGTTTGAAACGTGACATCCCGGCAAATCTGAGAAAAAAACACTATCGGAGTTGTCTCGAGATGGCTATGTATATCTATAGCATGAGGTAGTAGCATCTCTCTCCATTGAATACAGGCGGTTGACGTCAACAAGCCTCATCGAATATTCAAAAAATGATTACAATAATAAGATGTATCCACCAATCCAAAGAAAGGATAGGCAGGAGGGAGCTAGACAGCCCACCGTGCCACTTTGTGGACAACGACTCCCATTGTTAGGGCGGAGAGACATGTTTCTTGTCAGTATCTCCATAATCTTTGGATCCTAAATGAAACGGTTTCCGGAAACGGTCTGCGACTAATGAACACGCCCCTGGTATCGTGTCGAACAGCAGGAAATAGCCCATGCAAAGTGAAACCAAAAAGTCAAACTTATTAGCTAGAAGGCTGACTAGTTAGTTATGTTAAAATAAATGTGTATCATCACGATCATTGATGCAACGTGTCATTCCGTGAACGGATACAATTGAATACATAGCCTGGGAGTTACGCCAGTCAAATTGTATGGATCTGCATGTCAGGCCAAGTAGCTAACGCGTTAGCTAGCAAGAAGTTAGCCAAGTAGCTAACGTTGGTTTCAGCCATTTTAAAGCAGATATAGCTGTAGCTAGCTAAAGGCGGCCAAACAGGTGAGTAGTTATAGCTAACTCATTGTCCATATTTTGACATACCTTTGTTGACTCGTTTTCCAAATTCCTGTAATCATTTTCCCAGACCAAGGAATGTAGTGGAAACATCACCCTAAAATCTTCGTTGACCTCGGATAACATCTTCCCCTAGTTCGAACTTCTCAATGTAGAGCCACAGACAACCTAAGCTAAACCTTAAAGTTGAAGAAATGTAAATCAAATAATCTCCATATTCCGACAGAATTCATGTCAAATTGTGCTAGCCAACTTCTACAAAATAAAACTTTCGAAAAACAAGGAAGTGTCAAGTTGAGACTATTGTGATGGGGGTGTTTGAAATAAACTATTTGTTCTACAAGCTAATTTTGGCAGAGGATAAATACCTATATTGTACTATATTTGTGAAAATATAAGTACATGTATATATTTCTTAAAGACAAGTTAAGTTCAATATTTACTAATAATACAGTCCCCTTCTTGAAAAATGGATTGTTCCAAACAAGGACGTGACCATTTACGCTAAGGGGCCAGCTGAAGCAGGTCTTTACTAATTTGTGCCAAATACTTTTTCGTGAATATAAATTGATGACGTATGGTAAATATAGAAATATGCTTTGATACTGTAAATTGTGCATATTGCGCAATTAAACTGCAAATCAATGACACAATTCCCAAAATCCCGTTTACCATCGACGTCACATCCGTTCCCCACAACAACAACTAGCTAGTTAGCCTTCTTATTATAGCTCAGTGTAGCTAGCACACAAATATTTGACAGACGGCTAGCTAGTTTGCTCAATTTGTTTAATTAAAGGGATGTCAGTAGCTAGCTAGCTACCTAGCTAGTCGTTTGGCTGACCATTTGACATTATGTACCGGTAGTTCGCTCCGTAGCTATATCATCATCCACTAGCGGTTTGCGTTCTGTCAGCCACCGAATTAGACATTATTTTTACGTAGTGTCTTGCTGCAGTCCGCTGTCCACGTTGTATATGTTTCGTAATTCCAGAGTGTACTTTGACGAGCTAGCTCGGCTAACGCAAAGCGCATCTCGCCTCTTCCTCTCTGGCTGTTACAGACTAGTTTGGCAAGAGAGTTTCCGTCCTGACAATCGCAGCTGCTTGTAGTCTGCAAGCTGCTAAGTAGCGGTAGCGTGGTTGGAGCAAGAAACTAAGAAGAGGAAACAGTATTTCTTTGTACTTTCTATTTGCTCCTCGCCAGTCAACTAATCTGTCTTTTTTCAACACATGGTTTTATGTTATTCGCTTAGCTAAATTCTGCCACTGCATCAAATGAGTAAATAAACTTACACATCAATTCCATTGACACTTTTATCTCTGCAAAGGATGTCTAAACGATTAAGGAATAGTGAGGTTTGCGCGGATTGCAGTGTGCCAGGTAAGTCACTGACTGTTCAAAGGTGAGTAGCTAGTTGTAGCTAGCCAAACCATACATAATCCAGGCAGAATACCTGTCAAGTATTAACATGGCTAATAGATTTAGCTATAACTAGCTACATAGACTGATGTGTTGGTTTCTGAAGTTAGCACGTATATGAGCTGAAATTAAGCATGAGATTAGGTTAGATAAACTAGGTAACTAGGATAGTTGAGTTGTTGGCAACTGTGGCCTTCAGTTTTGTTACAAGCATTGTCTTCCCCCAATGTAGCCAACGTTGTCAACTACAGTGTAAAATGTAACGTTAATTACTGCTGGTTCGTTGGTTGTAAAATAATGCACCGAGCTATCTCCTGAGTCCGTGCATGAGTCATGCAAGTGTTTGCATGATGTCATCATGGTGTGGTTATTCCAATGCAGTGTTTTTTTTTTGATTTTGCAGGCATAACCATTTCAAAGATGATTTCCTATCAAAGTGCTGCCACAATGACAATGTATTTGATGTGATTGTCAGTTGAAGTTATGTTCAGTGTCAGACACACCATTGTGTAAATTTGGGTATGATACTGATACTGATCTGTCAAGGTAAGTGTATGACATGGGATACACACACAACAATCAAGTGTCTTTTCTATCAAATATCAGAAAATACTGTTACTATATGGTGTAGTTGTGTGTTCGCCCTGGCAATTTTGCACACCAGGGGTGTATTCATTATGTGGATTCCATTGCAAAACGTTTCGTATGTTGCTAAACGTTTTGCAACAGAAACAGTTTACTCTAGGACCCAAACGGGGCGGGACCTTCATGAATTTGACCAATAGAAACTCTTGTTTTTCACGTAATGAATACACCACTGACTGTGGGTGTTTAGTGTTGATTGTCTTCATGTGTCTGGCTGGCTGCAGATTTCTGAAGAATAATGCCAGAAAGGATCAGAATTTTCCCTATGGTCATGGTTTTAGATTCTACTACCTTAGAGTAGGGTTTCCAAAACTCAGTCCTCAAATAATCAACTCATCAAGCTTTGATTATTTTAATCAGCTGTGTAGTGCTAGGGCAAAAACCAAAACGTGCACCCAGGGGGGGCCCCAGGACCGAGTTTGGGAAACCCTGGATAGAGGTGCTTCCCTTTAATTGCCCTCCGGAATGAGTTTTGACAACTTAAAGGTAGACTCAGCAAAATGATGTTGTCACGAGCAGCACTGCAACTATTGAGATGAGCAAGATGCAAGACTTCACTCACACACAGTCACACATGTGCACAGGTTCGCTTCACGCTGTTACAGCGTGGTAGCCACGGGACCAAAACAGCGGAGAAGTTGAGCCTCGCGCTTCAACGCTCTTAGTTGTTGCGGAAGTTGACACACTATGCTGTTTATTTTCTGCATTTACATCATATCGCTGAGTACCTTTTTAAGTTTTCAAAACTCATGATGATGAGTAGAAGATCAGATGACCAGGTGCACGCTTCTTCCACATCTGAACTGTGGTTGGGTCCCCTAGTTACAATCTCTGCTGTTAATTTTTGGGGAAATTAACCAACTGTCAACCTGAGATTAAGAATGATGGTGTTGTCACTTCACTCAGAGGCTCTCTTTATCAAAACAATTAACTACAAATACCATACATTGTTATCTTATAGAATAATTACAATATCTGAACAATTTAGGGTGCTTTCACACTTGGTCCCTTTCAGATAATTTTTGTGAACTCAGTGCGGTTCGCATAATTTTTTTGTGCAGTGTGTGTGAGCACTCCAAAGGAACAGATCCCTCAAAAGAGCCCGCGAACCGAACTGAGACCATCTCGAGAGGTGGTCTGAGTTCGGTTCGCTTGAATTCCGTGGTGCGGTTCTCTTTTTTTAGGGCAATGTGAACACAAAGCTCCCCAGGTTCACTTGTCATTATTCCCGTACCACACTAGACTATTGCAACACCGTTTTCCCTGCCATAACCCCTCACATTGGTGCCACAAACGAGAGAAGATGATGTGCAGGTTCGCGTAAAAAAACGTGTGCTGTTTTTGAATGCACAGAAATTATAGTATTTGTGAAGTTTTCAGTTCAGATTAATTGTTTTCCATATTTGATCTATCGGCTAAGAGAGCTATATAAACTGTTTATTCGGTTGTGGGGTTTGAATAGTGTGAGGACGACAACATACAGTGGGGAGAAGAAGTATTTGATACACTGCCGATTTTGCAGGTTTTCCTACTTACAAAGCATGTAGAGGTCTGTAATTTTTATCATAGGTACACTTCAACTGTGAGAGATCAAGAAAATCACGTTGTATGATTAAGTAATTAATTTGCATTTTATTGCATGACATAAGTATTTGATACATCAGAAAAGCAGAACTTAATATTTGGTACAGAAACCTTTGTTTGCAATTACAGAGATCATACATTTCCTGTAGGTCTTGACCAGGTTTGCACACACTGCAGCAGGGATTTTGGCCCACTCCTCCATACAGACCTTCTCCAGATCCTTCAGGTTTCGGGGCTGTCGCTGGGCAATATGGACTTTCAGCTCCCTCCAAAGATTTTCTATTGGGTTCAGGTCTGGAGACTGGCTAGGCCACTCCAGGACCTTGAGATGCTTCTTACGGAGCCACTCCTTAGTTGCCCTGGCTGTGTGTTTCGGGTCGTTGTCATGCTGGAAGACCCTCCATGCTTGTCATGCTGATGTTTCCACCTCCATGCTTCACGGTTGGGATGGTGTTCTTGGGGTTGTACTCATCCTTCTTCTTCCTCCAAACACGGCGAGTGGAGTTTAGACCAAAAAGCTCTATTTTTATCTCATCAGACCACAGGACCTTCTATATTCCTCCTCTGGATCATCCAGATGGTCATTGGCAAACTTCAGACGGGCCTGGACATGCGCTGGCTTGAGCAGGGGGACCTTGCGTGCGCTGCAGGATTTTAATCCATGACGGCGTAGTGTGTTACTAATGGTTTTCTTTGAGACTGTGGTCCCAGCTCTCTTCAGGTCATTGAGCAGGTCCTGCCGTGTAGTTCTGGGCTGATCCCTCACCTTCCTCATGATCATTGATGCCCCACGAGGTGAGATCTTGCATGGAGCCCCAGACCGAGGGTGATTGACCGTCATCTTGAACTTCTCCCATTTTCTAATAATTGCGCCAACAGTTGTTGCCTTCTCACCAAGCTGCTTGCCTATTGTCCTGTAGCCCATCCCAGCCTTGTGCAGGTCTACAATTTTATCCCTGATGTCCTTACACAGCTCTCTGGTCTTGGCCATTGTGGAGAGGTTGGAGTCTGTTTGATTGAGTGTGTGGACAGGTGTCTTTTATACAGGTATCGAGTTCAAACAGGTGCAGTTAATACAGGTAATGAGTGGAGAACAGGAGGGCTTCTTAAAGAAAAACTAACATGTCTGTGAGAGCCGGAATTCTTACTGGTGATCAAATACTTATGTCATGCAATAAAATGCAAATTCATTACTTAAAAATCATACAATGTGATTTTCTGGATTTATGTTTTAGATTCTGTCTCTCACAGTTGAAGTGTACCTATGATAAAAATTACAGACCTCTACATGCTTTGTAAGTAGGAAAACCTGCAAAATCGTCAGTGTATCATACTTGTTCTCCCCACTGTATTTGGTGAGAATCACAACAGGGTACAAAATCTATTCTAGCTCACTTCTATTCTAGGGACAGTAGCCTACATTGGATGTACAATTTTAAATTACAGCATTATTTAATCTGCAGTTATTCTTCTGCTAGGCCTATTTATTATGTTACCAATAATATTTACATGTTAATAATATCTTCTGATTACAATTATTATGTCTAATCTTTTAACTAAATGCAATCTATTAACTTCTGAAATGTAAGTAGGTATCTAGCTGTCCAATAACATGTTCTGATGGAATGGTTTGTCCTGCACTTTGTAAAAACCCAGAGTGCATTGAGTGAATGTTGTAAAAAGATCTTGGTTCCTTTCTAAACGTAGCAATGTGAATGCAAAGAGGACTCGAACCACAAAATGGGTAAAGTGAACTGGCAAAAGAGTTGAGTCCTCATTCAAATGCAAGGGCAGTGTGAATACAAAGAGAACTGAGTTCTTTTGCTTATTTTTTTACCCCTGAGTTCTCTTTCAAGAGGACTGAGATCGGTTCTTTTGGAGGACTATACGTAAAACACCCTTAGAGCTAATCCGAATTGGGTAGAAATCATGTACCATGCGGTTTCTCTGTGAGAGTCTAATGGCTTCATTGCTGTGTTGTGAGGGCCGTTTTGCATAATGTTTAGTCCATTTCGTACTGGAATGACGTTGTGATGTTGTCCAATTCAGCACAGGAAGAAAAACAGGATGTTGAGTGAATTGACTAGATGCTGAGGATGCAGTGAGAATTGTGGCTATTGTATTTGACTTTGTATAAAATGTTCCACATCTTTGTGACCTGTGCCCCCCCACATTGACTCTGTACCAGTACCCCCTGTATATAGCCTCGCTACTGTTATTTGACTGCTGCTCTTTAATTATTTGTTATTTCTTTTTATTTGTTATAAAAATGTTTACTTATCTATTTTTTACTTCACTTATTTATCTTAAAACTGCATTGTTGGTTAAGTAAGCATTTCACTGTAAGGTCTACACCTGTTGTATTTGACGCATGTGACAAATCAAATTTGATTTGATCTTCCGCCACTGCTCTGATTAAGTTATTCTATCAGTACATAGGAAGGGAGTTTTAAATCCGTTTAGGCTTAAAGCATGTGCACTTTCCCTTTTTTGTAAAATGTTTGTCTAAAACAAAGCAAATAACAAATAGTGGTAGATGGGGCTTTCTATTGTCAGTTGTTGATGTACCAAGTTAAAAGAGGAACGCTGCTTGGTTAGAATAATATTGAAAAGCCTAGTTAGTAAATAAGCCTAATTATTGTGACAATAAGTAGGCCTAGCTGTATGTAATCTCGTCCTCCAGCCGGCTCTCTCTCTAGCAATTGAACTTAGCAACGAGGTTAAGCTGTAGGGCAATTCCACAGAAACAGAATTATGCTGAGACTTTGCATCTGCACTGTTCTTCAAGGAAATGTGCTTTTGTAACATTTTCAGTTGAAATTGTTCAAGGTAGTGCTTGTGCATACATTTGTATGGTTTGTTTAACTTTGCAGTTATTGGATTTTGTTTGACACACATTTTAAAGTGAAAAATCTCTTATTGTGGAATTGCTCTGTAGTAGCCTAGAGCCATTCTGAAGTAGGCTAGCCCATACCCAATGTATCTTACCACTCACTGCAGTTCATTCTATCAATTCCAGCATATTCCTATATCCCATTCCCTGACAGTCCTACTGAAAATTAGTCAATGTCCCTCCCTCCCGACACCAGTTGGCCTGGACTGCCCCTCTGTGGGGCTGTTACCAGTTGTTGTTGGGGTCTGAATATTTTTAGCGGGTACAGGCGTGAGTTTTAATTTAGCAGCACTTTACACTTGTTGATGAAAGAGTGGGCTTGTCAGCACCCAACTCTCACTGGGCAGGAAGAGGAAGAGACGCAGAACGGTACAGCAGGTGCCGGAGCGTGACTGGCCTGCAGCCCCAACACACACACATTTCAGCTGTCACCAGAGAGACGTGACAACCCCACTGCCACTCATCATTTCAGAGTGGCAGTCACCCAGTCGATCAGTTTTGTAATTTGCTTGTCTGTTTATGGGTTGCAGTTTTGTTTGTCAGTCAAGCTGTCAGTCAACCTACAGTACCAGTCAAAAGTTTGGACATACCTACTCATTCAAGGTTTTTTTTCTACATTGTGGAATAATAGTGAAGATGTCAAAACTATGGAATCATGTAGTAAACTAAAAAGTGTTAAATCAAAATATATTTTAGATTCTTCAAAGTAGCCAGTAGGGGGGGGGGGGGGGGTTGTTAACGTATATAATAATATATATATAATATATGCCATTCAGCAGACGCTTTTATCCAAAGCGACTTACTACTCTCAAATCTCAACAAACTCAAACATTATAAACAGGGGTTTAGAAAAAACACAGCCTAGCCTATTTAGTTTTGACTCCAGGGCTCAGTTGTAGAAAACAGAGCGTTCTCTTAATGGAGATAATGGTCAGCAGATCAGTTGATCACTTCTCTCTTTGTGCTAATGGGGTCACGTGATATGCAGGCTAGGGGCATTGAGGAAGTCCTCATGGTTCTTCTGTTGCCCCCTGCCTAAAAGAGCTGGCCTGTTGGTTTCAATTGACAAAGTGGGTCTAGATTAGCCTATGTTTTGGAGCCATTTGCGCCACGCCTTGAAATTAAACTAAGGAAACGACTGCTGCTGAAAATACTTCAGGTAGGAAGTCAGAAAGCTAACGACCAGCCCTTAATACTGACTTTTCTGTGTTTTGAAGAGACTAAAAGTGAGCCATGTCTTGTTCCATGGTTTGTATACAGTCTGTCACAGTAGGCCTGTCACTCCCTCTCTCTCTCTGGGTGTTTGCTGTTACTTTACCAGCAGCATGGTGTGCAAGTTCAAACAAGTTTCAGTTCTTTCTGCAGTTAGCGGTTCTCTTTGAAGCTCTGTGTGATGTACGATGAATCTCTCATGCTCAGTCCTTTGTCATTATTTCCCGTCAGACCCCTTCAATAACCCCATCATGAGCCTAGAACGAGACTACAATCCCAATACGTTGCTCGGTGAAGTGCACAATCCTGTAATGTACACACATTTTGTTGTTGTTTAGCCGGAAGTTAGCTAGTGAAAGAGTAATTTCTCTTTTGCCCTCTCAGCTACAACCAATGATTGGCTACAGCACGTAAAAGGATGAGATTTTGGAGCGGTCTCTTTGACACTGTCCATATATGGAAGTGTGTGGTTCAACTTCACCTTTGCGCTCTGCATGACTTCACTACCAAAATATAACGAACTGGGGATCGGAAAGTTTAGGGTTAAAACGTTAAAAAATAAAGGCTATGGGCCTATAGGAGCTATTTCCTATAGGACTTGCATTGTAATTATGTGACAGCTCTGAAAAAAGTCTGTCAATAGAAGTTAGTGCTATCAGAATAATGTGCCCTGAGGTTGTCTCCATGTTAGCCTCAATAGGGTTTCCTTTATCTACAGGCATCTGAGCAGGATCAGTTCAGGCGTATAGATTCCAAGGGTGTATCTGGGACGGCTGTCCCGTCAGTGTAGCCCAACTGGGATGCCACAAGAATGGAGACGCTGGGGCCAGAGTGAGTTTGCAGCGGAGTGAGAAGTGAAGTGGCCTGGCTGCCAAAGGCAGCATGCCAGAGATTTTAATAATGAATGTGAGGAGCAGTGGAAAGGCCTAGTCATGAGGAAGGTGCCAGTAACCAAGGAAAGCTGTGTAAGTGTTAGCTTGATGATGGATTTCTAACAGTGACTGCTGATGTAGAATCTAGATTATATGAAAAGTGGCAGTTGAGTGATCATTAAGCTAAAGGCTAGGTTATGAGAATCAGACAAGCACTGTTTCAGTGCATTTAGCCCCACAGGTCCTTCTCAGTGTATTCAACTACATGGCATTACAAATGCCAAATGAGGTTTTGCAATTGAGGAAATATTCAGATGAATGTCTTATTTATTTACTATATGTATTTGTTTCCTTTTCGCTTAGAGCCTCGCTGGGCCTCTGTGAACAGGGGTGTGTTGATCTGCGACGAGTGCTGTAGTGTTCATCGGAGTCTGGGCAGACACAGCTCCCAAGTGCGTCACCTGACTCACACACCATGGCCTCCTACACAGCTACAAGTAAGATCCCCAACACACACACACACACACACACACCTTTACTGTGGTCAAAGGTATCCCTTTTTCTGCTTTTGGGATAGAACAGGCTGTCGGTATATTTCATTTAATTGATCAAATCTTTGTCTTTTAATCAGATGGTTCAGATGTTATACAACAACAGTGCAAATTCAATATGGGAGCACTCTCTACTGGACCCAGCGTCGGTGATGAGTGGGAAACGCAAGGCCAACCCTCATGATAAAGTACAGTGAGTCATGAGTGTTTGATGGCTGCCAAGTGAGCCAGGAGTGTAGACTTGTTCACAAGTGAAGGAGAGACCTTTGGCCCAGTTGCACTAGTACCTTTTTCACACTACTGAGCTGATGCCAATCACGCTGAACTGCATTGGCCTGGTTACACATTCACCAAAGTGCTGGTTTGGGTCAGCACAATAGCGTGACAAGGGTATGCGAACCTAAGAGTGAGTGTTGCTTGAAATTGAAATGCTGAATATCCTCCCACGAGGCTCTTTGCTCCATTTCTCTGCTGTTTACCCCGTCCTCTTTTTGTCATCCCCATAGCCCAAATAAGACAGAGTTCATAAAGGCCAAATACCAAATGCTGGCTTTTGTTCACCGGATGCCTTGTCGAGATGACGACAGCTTCACAGCCAAGGACTTAAGCAAGGTGAGATCTCGGCCACTCTGTGCTAATGAAGGTTTATCCGGCTTGAATTAGCAATATTTTACTAATAGATGTTGATTTTATTTTCCCTCAGCAACTTCACTCCAGCGTCCGCACTGGTAACCTGGAGACATGTCTGAGGCTACTCTCTCTGGGAGCCCAGGCCAACTTCTTTCACCCAGTAAGACTCTCTGATCACTCATCTAATTTCTCCCCCATCCAGCTTCAAAACATATCCTTAACAACATGTTAATACAACATTGTTACTACCATAATTACTGTTTTGCTACAGAGGTACGAGAGCAACTTAATAGAACACTGCTCGTGGAAAAAAACATTCCATAAAGGAAGCCTTTTCATAGGTTTAATCTTTTGTGGCGTAGTGTTTATGCCGCAAGCAGTGTGAACAGACCCTTACCCTTTCTCACACCCTATCTATAAAGTATTTTCCCCCCTCTAGTTTTAATTGTTCACGTGTGGGTGGTGTCTTACCTTTCCTCCAGGAAAAAGGGAATACGCCGCTGCATGTGGCTGCCAAGGCAGGCCAGGTGTTTCAGGCTGAGCTGCTGACAGTCTACGGGGCCGACCCCGGCGCCCCCGACACCAGCGCCAAGACCCCCATTGACTATGCAAGGTACTGCAGCATCCATCCTTTAAAGGGATAGTTCACCATTCAGAATATTTAATTTATTTTATCCAAGTCATAAAAATTAAAATACATTGTGGCTGTGCGACCAGGCTGGCTGTTACTGGCTTTATGGGCAAGAAGAGGCATAACTGATTTCTATCGTGTCTGTTTCTCAGGCAAACTGGCTACCATGATCTGGCTGATAGGCTGGTGGAGATTCAGTATGAACTTACTGACAGACTGGCTTTCTATCTCTGTGGGAGAAAGCCTGGTAAGTGAGGAAAGTCCTTCGCCTTCTCAAACTAGACTGCAAGCCTTGCTTGTTCATTTTTCCTAACATCCGTCAGCTGCAGTTGAAACAAACCCACTGTAATCGATGATACATGCTACACCAGCCACAGAAGCAGCACGTCAGTGAAGCGAAGTTTGGGTCTCTGAAAGTTATTTTTATGCTTCAAGACTGTTTCTAGGGCAGAGACGCACCTCTGTGAAGCATACACAGAAGTGGCACACACTTCAGAATTTTGACTCTGTTCTATGATTCAGTGATGGCATTGTTTTTTGCCTGCTAAAACAACACACACTCAACGTTTGCAGCCTAGTTTTGGGGGTTACTCAACATCACATACGGGACCTCCCATGAGGGTTCTAATCACAACAATCCATATTATGTCCATGCTTGCTTTCAGATCATAAAAATGGCCAACACTTCATCGTCCCACAGATGGCCGACAGGTAAGGAAGCATTGTGTAGCTCAATGCATAACATAGTATTCTGATCCCAGACTGTTTGTGTTGTATAGCCAACCCCTATGTTGTCATGCAAATGACAATAACCATAGGAGTTGGCAAAAAAGCTTAAACAGATCTGGGACCAGACTAATAATATATCACTTTATGGGGATTGTTGTAGGATTTTTTTTAAAATTAAGAAACCATGAGCTGTTTCTTTGACAGTGCAATCCAACTGTAGGGCCTGCCAGGACATGTTCTGTGGCTTTTTGTAACAAGCATGAGAGGAAATAGGCCAAAGTCATTGTTACATATTTAAAACAACAAAATCATTGTTGTTATAATAATACAAAATACATATCTGAGAAAAATCGACCTTTCTGGTCTTATTATTGTATTAACCTATTATAGCATAGTTCTGATATTTGAACTCAAATTAAGCATGTTCTCTTTTTTTATTGCTATCTTTTGATGGATAGGAACATGTAAGTATTTGATCATGATGAGGTTTGAGCATTTTCTCTCCCATTCAAAATCAGAGGCTAAGCATATTTATTCTTTCCATCTATAGCAGTTTAGATTTATCAGAGCTGGCAAAGGCAGCAAAGAAGAAACTCCAGTCTGTAAGTGTTCTTGTGATTTTAGGTTTTGATTGTAATATCATACATTACATAATGCAATCTAGAGACCCATGTAATGTAACGAAAGCATATTCATAAAACTAGTTCTGGTTTGATTTCTCACGAATCACAAATTTCATTTCAGCTCAGTAATCATTTGTTTGAGGAGCTGGCGATGGATGTGTATGACGAGGTGGACAGACGGGAGACGGACGCAGGTAAGACACACTGAGGGACAGACAGACAGTGATGCGAAGTAGTGGAGTAATATCAGTGCATGTTTCTTAGCATTCAGTCCACCATGTCCAATTAAACATCAGGATGGTGTTCATTAGGCACCAAACTGAAGAAAACGGACTGAAACTGGGAGGGACTACCTTGACTTATCCAATAAGAAACACACATTTTTGTTTCCCGATGCAGAACGTTTTCTGTTTGCGTTTACTAATGAACACGGCCCATGTGCAACACTCCTATGTTCTGCACAGTATGGCTGGCAACGCAGAACCACAGCACGCTGGTGACAGAGACCACTGTGGTGCCTTTCCTTCCTGTGAACCCAGAGTACTCATCAACACGAAACCAGGCAAGCCTGCTGCACACAGTATACCACCCTCCCTAGTAAACACTTTGTTGCTTGATATAGCTTTAGTTACATATTGTCCCCCTCTGTTTTTCTCTCCCCCTTTAAATATGACAAATTCTCGGTTCTCAGTTTCAAATTAAGGTTTGTTGCGTACACAGTTTAGCAGACGTTATAGCGGGTGCAGTGAAATGCTAATGTTACTAGCTCCTAATAATGCAGTAAGATGTCAAACAAGTAAACGAATAATAAATAAATAAAATGTAAATCAAGAAATGTTATCAGATGCAGTAGGAGAGGATACAGTATGCATTATTTTATTTTTCTCCAGGGACGGCAAAAGCTTGCGAGATTCAATGCACATGAATTTGCAACTCTTGTCATCGACATATTAAGTGACGCGAAGCGTCGACAGCTGGGGAACTCTACGACGAGTCCCAAAGGTAGAGTACTGGACGATAATGGACCTACAGTGAGGGAAAAAAGTATTTGATCCCCTGCTGATTTTGTAAGTTTGCCCACTGACAAAGACATGATCAGTCTATAATTTTAATGGTAGGTTTATTTGAACACTGAGACACAGAATAACAACAACAAAAAATCCAGAAAGACGCATGTAAAAAATGTTATAAATTGATTTGCATTTTAATGAGGGAAATAAGTATTTGACCCCTCTGCAAAACATGACATAGTACTTGGTGGCAAAACCCTTGTTGGCAATCACAGAGGTCAGATGTTTCTTGTAGTTGGCCACCAGGTTTGCACACATCTCAGGAGGGATTTTGTCCCACTCCTCTTTGCAGATCTTCTCCAAGTCATTAAGGTTTCGAGGCTGACGTATGGCAACTCGAACCTTCAGCTCCCTCCACAGATTTTCTATGGGATTAAGGTCTGGAGACTGGCTAGGCCACTCCAGGACCTTAATGTGCTTCTTCTTGAGCCACTCCTTTGTTGCCTTGGCCGTGTGTTTTGGGTCATTGTCATGCTGGAATACCCCCATCCACGACCCATTTTCAATGCCCTGGCTGAGGGAATGAGGTTCTCACCCAAGATTTGACGGTACATGGCCCCGTCCATCGTCCCTTTGATGCGGTGAAGTTGTCCTGTCCCCTTAGCAGAAAAACACCCCCAAAGCATAATGTTTCCACCTCCATGTTTGACGGTGGGGATGGTGTTCTTGGGGTCATAGGCAGCATTCCTCCTCCTCCAAACACGGCGAGTTGAGTTGATGCCAAAGAGCTCGATTTTGGTCTCATCTGACCACAACACTTTCACCCAGTTCTCCTCTGAATCATTCAGATGTTCATTGGCAAACTTCAGACGGGCCTGTATATGTGCTTTCTTGAGCAGGGGGACCTTGCGGGCGCTGCAGGATTTCAGTCCTTCACGGCGTAGTGTGTTACCAATTGTTTTCTTGGTGACTATGTTCCCAGCTGCCTTGAGATCATTGACAAGATCCTCCCGTGTAGTTCTGGGCTGATTACTCACCGTTCTCATGATCATTGCAACTCCACAAGGTGAGATCTTGCATGGAGCCCCAGGCCGAGGGAGATTGACAGTTATTTTGTGTTTCTTCCATTTGCGAATAATCGCACCAACTGTTGTTACCTTCTCACCAAGCTGCTTGGCGATGGTCTTGTAGCCCATTCCAGCCTTGTGTAGGTCTACAATCTTGTCCCTGACATCCTTGGAGAGCTCTTTGGTCTTGGCCATGGTGGAGAGTTTGGAATCTGATTGATTGCTTCTGTGGACGGGAGTCTTTTTTATACAGGTAACAAGCTGAGATTAGGAGCACTCCCTTTAAGAGTGTGCTCCTAATCTCAGCTCGTTACCTGTATAAAAGACACCTGGGAGCCAGAAATCTTTCTGATTGAGAGGGGGTCAAATACTTATTTCCCTCATTTAAAATGCAAATCAATTTATAACATTTTTGACATGTGTTTTTCTGGATTTTTTTGTTGTTATTCTGTCTCTCACTGTTCAAATAAACCTACCATAAAAATTATAGACTGATCATTTCTTTGTCAGTGGGCAAACGTACAAAATCAGCAGGGGATCAAATACTTTTTTCCCTCACTGTACTACCGCTCTCTCTCACACACAGGGCTTATGGTCATAATCAAATGTTCTTTATATGAAATGAGAAAAGTGCCCCATTTTTATTTTATTTTTTCTTATTTGCTTCTTTGTGGTTACAGAAAACGTTGAACTTATCCTAAAAAGCGTGAGCATCCTGCACGGCAGTGAGGGTCTGGACAACGACCAGCCGGACTACGACAGCGTGGCCTCTGACGAGGACACAGATCAGGAGCCATCCTCGGGCAAGGACCGAACCAAGGTAACTAACGTGATGGCATTGCACACAAACCAAGTAAAGGATTTCAAGTACAGGACTGTATGTAGTACTGAAAATGAGCACCTGCAGTCTGGCTTTTCAATCGCTGACTTTTTCCTCTACAGAGTCTGGACTCGGACCTGTCAGACGGGCCTGTCATGGTTCAGGAGTTCCTGGAGGTGAAGCACGCCCTGTCGGCCTCGGAGGCCAAGATCAAGCAGTTGATGAAGGTCAACAGCAACCTGAGCGACGAACTGCGGCTGATGCAGAAAAAGGTACCACCCACTGCAGAGATCCACCAATCAGATCACTAACACTGCCCGGTCCGTCCGCCACTTGGCCAATGAGACGGAGGGCTGGACTCGGGGCGGCACTGTGGTTGGTCAGCCGAGCTCTGGTCCCTCCCCCCACGGTAACCTCCCCTCACACACTGGGGTTCTAATGAGGGTCCTAACCAGTAACCACCAGACTGCTGGGGAGGTTCTCCTGCAAGGCAAGACTGCTCTCCCTCTTGCTCCACCGTTTGGGACAGCATGTTTCAGTCCATGTTCAGACAATGGCTTCTATAGCTTGACATATTCTTCTTCTTTTTTTTCTTTTTACTTGTGTTAAAGAGATGCATTCTTGCTCCACTACAATTGTGGAAAAAATATCCCTCCGCCCCTGTATACAGTGATTGATACAGTAGAAGCTGTGTTATTTCATATGGTATGACTAACAGGCATGCTCAAGTAATCAGCATGACATCACTCGCACTGTGAGTTTCCATCCCCTCGTCGTTTCTACAGTGACTAACATAGTAAGCATAGCATCGGTCATTTTAAATAATGGATTTTTAAAACTCTTTTTTAAATGTTAGCTCATCAGAATAGTCCACTTGAAGTTGTGAGATAACACGTCTTACTTTTACACGGGTGCAGCATTTGCCTTGTCAAACAAAAAGGTCCCATTGGTCCTCTGCTGTGGTTTTTAAAATATTCTTTACATCCCAGGAGGGCACAGGAGTACAGTCAACTCCAGAGTTCAGCTCCACAGTGGGTGTTAACAAAATGTTTTTCTATGGTTTTGCTCTAACCTGGAGTCTTCCCTACCTCTATGACCCCGATAATTTATCATACTAAATCCCACAATCCGCAGTTTGTGTTTCAGCTCAACAGCAGCCCCACCACTTGATTTGGAGTAGACTAAACTATAATTTCCCCCAATCAACAGCCGCGGTTCGACCTAAAAAGCATAGATATTGTGACAAACGGCCTTTAAAGGACCGATTTTGAGAAACCATAGAAATATGGGGCATGCCTTTACAAGGTAGTGAGCTGTTTTTGTTATTGTTTGAATAGCTGTTTTTGTAGCCACAGCAGCTATACAGGCTCCGGATTGTGGCTTTGAACCCCTTTGCCCTGGGTCGTGAATACTATTGTTCTATGGGACAAACGGTACAAGTCAAACTGCCATTCCTTAGTGGTAGACGTGTACAGTATGTGATTTAGCCATGTGGGCTGGCATTATTTTAACTGATTGGATACTCTTTCTTAGCTGTCAGAGAACTTCCCCCTTGCCCTCTATGAATGAAATAGCACACTTTGTTGGATTTCAACCAGACCATAGAGTTGGATAGAGCGCACACTTGCAAAAGCCTGTTTTGGAATGGGCAGCGCCGTTGAGGGCTTACTGTTTTAAACTAGTCAACTGGGTGGGACTTCCTATGGGTTAAAATGGATCACAGAATTCCATCCAGGTCAGTAGGAGGGATCAGCCAATGAATTATACTCCTGAGCAAACATTCCAGCACGGCAGGTGGCAGTAAATCACCAAACTTGGGTTTATGCCCGTTCAGACTATATAAACTCCAGCACAGTAGGTGGCGGTATGCTTCTTTTCATTTTGTTTACGAACCACGAGTAAACTCAGAAGTAGAAGAATAAGAAATGTGCTACTTTAAAATTGAGAGCCCTCTATAGACGGGTCGGTTGTTTAGCAACAATACCCACGCGTGTGCAACTATGGGGCAAAACGGATGGGGTTGGCTTAGACTGTTGACAAAATGTAAACTATATTTAGTCTCCAAATGTTTATTGAAAACATAAATACATTTGCACAATGAGCACTTGTCTCTCAAATACATTGTTACAGTTGTTGGTTAGCTAGCTAATTTTAGCCATATTAGCATAGACATGATATCAGTCAAAACACCTCAAAACAAGACGTGGTATCACCAACAAGATACAAGGTGAAATGATCCACCTACGATTCCCCACAAGGCAGCTTCTTGTCATTGTTGCTAGCTGTCTGACCATTCAGAATCAGCCAGTCGATGGTGCTCCTCGTGCTGTCACAGGAGCAATAATGGAAAAGTGGGGGTGTGCCCTCTTTCCAACTCTATGAACCAGATAATACAATTGCATTAGATGCAAAACACTGATGGGGGCATATCTCTTCCTCTTTGACTATCAAGATCTAAGAGGGTCTATTTTCTGGATGCCTCTCTGCCACTGCCTGGGCATCCCTGGCGCACAATCTTTGTCCCTGGTGCTCATATATCTTATCTATCAATCATCTCAGACAGAGACTGGAGCGATCTGAACTGTCTGGCTTGCCTGCTGCCCTTTCTGCTTGCTCTTACCTCTTGCTATGATTTTTTTAGTGGATTTTTTCGAATGCCTAGCATGAGTAACACCAGGGGGGACATGATTTAACAAGAAGATTGATTCAATTAACTCTGTTAATAAGCATGTTATAAAGACATAAGTAGTAGCCTATAACATTGGGCTTAGTTTAGCACAGATTGATGCTGACTGTTCCCAACACCTGAAGTGAACCATCTAGAGGTAGAGAAATGGGGGCAAGTCCTAACTTCCACTTTAGTCACATTTTTACTTAGTCTTCCATTGACATCAATTTATGACAAGTGAAATTAAACTTAAGTGAAAGTTAGGATTCGCCGTGTGGAGAATAAAGCATGCATTAAAGCTATAAAACTGAAACGCCTTGCTCGCTGATAAGAAAAGCGCCCTTTTAGTGTATTTGCTGACCCGTCTCTTCCAGCTACATTCTCTGCAAAGTGAGAACACGTCTCTCAGGCGGCAGGGCCCAACCACCCATATCTATCAGGTCCCCATCAGCAGCGGGTCAGAGTACACTGACCCTTCTTCCTCCAGCCCCTCGGCCATGAAGCGCCGGCAATCAGCGCAGGCCAGCCGGCCCATGTCCATGTCTATTTATGAGACTGGCTCAGGCCTGAAGCCCTACCTCCCCAAGGGGGAGACCCCCTACCCAGAGGAGGGTATCCCCACCCTGCAACCCTTCCTCCCACCTCATGTAAGTAAAAATCCCCCAGCCAGCCTCCTTTGCCATTTGCTCTCTCATCTCCATCTTCTTGTAGTCTCTTCCACCACAACCTTTTTTCTCATTCTATCTTTTCCTGCAGCCTTTTTTTCTCTCTGTTCCATTTCCTTCCTGCTTTTAATTTATTTTTCTGTTGTTCTTTGGGGTACTGTAGTGTTTGCCGGTAGCTGTTATTTGGCACCTGGAACCTGATTGTGATAATCAGCCAATACAATGCCAAGCACACAGGTCACAGACAGCTAGTCTCAACTCGGTGTCTGCTCTGAATGGCTGCAATCTCATAGGATTATTGTCAGGGCTGTTGGTTTCCACAGTGTTTCCTGGGCCGTGTTCCAAGATCTTTAAAATGCATCCGTCTTCTCCCTTCCTTAAAGGGATAGTTCACTAAAATTACATATTGGTTTTCTTACCCTGTAAGCAGTCTATGGACAATGTATGACAGCAATCCATGCTTTGGTTTAGTTTCCCTGGCACGGTTTCCAAATGCTAATGTGTTAGCATTTGTGGCACAAATCCCATTCAAGTCAAACCAAGCATGGATTGCTGTCATACCTTGTCCATAGACTGCTTACAGGGTAAGGAAACTGTGTCATTTTGTAATTTGGGTGAACTATCCCTTTTAAGATAATCACTGACCTATAAGTGAGTAGATATGTGAACATTTCCACTCAATTGCTTTTATCAATCTTCCTGTGTAAGATCAGTGATTTCCTCAAGGAAAGACTGAAGGATGGGTGCATTTTAAGGTATTCGAACAGGGCCCTTGGAGTACTCTCTGTTCAAACATTGTCTCAGACAATAGGAAAGATGTCAGAATCCCACTTGTTATTTTAGGTTGAATCTGAAATATTTGAAAGGTTTGTATGTCATTTCAAATAAGCATTAAACATTAACATCCCATTCAAATTTTTTCAGAGTTTTTTGTTTTTATGTCTCTATGACAAACTAACACAGCATTTCCCAAACTAGGCTTGCGACCCCATGTGGTGATTTGGAAATGGGGTCGCGAGAGAAACTTGCGCTTGGTTGATAGAACCGGGTTTACATCAGTATCCTCCAGTAGTTGTAATAAACAGAGTGGTTTCTGTTTCTTCCTACAAATGTGGCGCTATCTTTTGAACTGTTTAGGCTACAAAATATTATGACCCGATCACTGAAAGATAAAACTCATGTATGTGTCTTCTGTTTCCCTCTACAATGCCCACAAGCTTTATTAAAACAGAGTGGACAAGACCAGGCACTAGATCAGACTGGGGGGAGAAGAACATCAATGATGGTGTTCTTTTCTACACAGAAGATCATAACAAATCATTGCCTAATGATCTTCTGAACTTCCCAATACCTTTCTGATGCATTTCAGTCACTTCAAACCATACCTCTTTCAGCTTGAGATACTGTCAAAAGTACTGTCAGACTGATTTGTAATAGACTGTCATAGCCCCAATAAAATGTTTAAATAAAGTTTACATTGGCCGTTGGTTACATCACTTTATTTATATGGAAATGATGTCGCGGGCAAAAAAAAGTTTGAACCCCTGAACTAACAACATCATTTATGGTTCTAAATCCTGGTGTATTTTAATTTATTTTTAAACGAAAAGAATTTGGTGTTTTTGAAATTGAACTAATCTGTTAGTTCTGGTATTTCAAGAGGGGCATTCCGGGATTGGTACATCTACACTCACCTGCCAGTTTATTAGGTACACCCATCTAGTACCGGGTCGAACCCCCCTTTGCCTCCAGAACAGCCTGAATTCTTTGAGGCGTTCTACAAGGTATCTGAAACGTTCCAGAGGGATGTTGGTCCATGCTGACCTGATGGCATCATGCAGTTGCTGCAGATTGGAAGGTGGGACATTCATGCTGTGAACAGCCTGTTCCATCTCATCCCAAAGATGCTCTATTGGGTTAAGGACTGACAAGGATCAACGAGGCATTCCGAGATGCTGTTCTGTACACCACTGTTGTACTGCGCTGTTATTTGTCTGTCTGTGGCCCGCCTGTTAACTTGCATGATTCTTGCCATTCTTCTTCGACCTCTCTCATCAAAGAGCTGTTTTCGCCCACAGGACTGCCGCTGACTGGATGTTTTTGTTTGTTGCAGCCCAGGAGGCTGCCCGTTTCTGAAATACTGGAACCTGCGCGCCTGGCACAGACAACCATACCACGCTCAGTCGCTTAGGTCACTCGTTTTTACCATTCTCATGTTCAATCCAACAGTAATAGAATGCCTCAATGCCAGTCTGCCTGCTTTATATAGCAAGCCACGGCCACGTGGAGCCAACCATTTTCATGAACCGGGTGGTGTATTTGTCCTACTCTATCAGAACCCAAAATATAAGTTTGTTTTCCTCCGTTGTTTGTGAACAATGTAATTGTAAACAAACACTGTAGCCCCCTCAAATTCAAATCTGGCCGTCGAAGCCAGTTCCATTCATCCCTTTTAATAAGGGAGTGATTTAGACCTGGGACACCTGGTGGGTGCAATTTTAATGTTTAGGTAGAACAGAAAACCAGCAGTACTCCAGACTTCGTAGGGTAAGATTTGAATACCACTGCTGTAGCCTATAGCTTCAAAACATGGTTAAAACTATACTTTTGACCTCATGGATGGTCTTTCCTTCCATTATATAGCTCTGTCTAAGAATTTGAGAATGGTTGCATTTATCTAGCGCCATCCCTCAGGTGTTTACCAGAACAAGTGGTGGAGTGACTGCCTTGTTGTTTTTCAAATCCCGGAATTCCCCTTGTCTCTATGAAACAATATTGTACTATGCAGTATCAAAGATAGAATATGTTAATTGTCTAGATGTTTAAAATGTTCTAGGTATGGGATTTGAGGTCCAGTGTTGCCAGATCCAACGAGGCAATGATTGTAATGCAGTTAAAGTCAAATTTCATGCCATACAGTCTTGTTTATCATCACATTTTATGGTTCTCTTCATTTGTTTTATTAAAATATTTGTTTTATTAAAATTGTATTTTAGTGCTCCCAAACACTGTTATTCGCATGAAGTGCTTTGAAGAAGTCTTTGTTTTTGGGAGCACTAACTACTGTTTTTTTTTCTTCTGTTTTTTCTTTAAAACGTATAATTTGAACCCCTTTCTAGATGGGAAGGGGTGCTTTTGTGACCTCTTCATCCCTCCCCTCCTTCCCATCCACCCTGTCCTGGTCACGGGACGAATGTGCTCAAAGGGTTAAGTACTTCCTCACTTGGTCCGTGCCTCTCGACACAGCAAATCCACTGGGAGCCCCCGTCCTCCCTCCCTTTGTCCTCTGTATACTGCTCCCTCCCTCCCTCCCTCCCTCCCTGTCATGCTGCATGAGCCAAGCCACCTCTCATACATATCTCTACGACCACCACCACCCATATGTCTCCAGGGACGTCACCAGGACCCGGCTTTCAGGGTCCTGGTGACGCTGCGACGCGGCTTCCGCAGAAGTCAGAACATTCATACTTCTTGCGCTTCGCAGAGCTGTTGTGAAGTATCACTACCTCCACCACCCATACATATCTCTACCTCCACCACCCATACATTCACTACGTGACCAAAAGTATGTGGACACCTGCTCGTCGAACATCTCATTCCAAAATCATGGGCATTAATATGGAGTTGGTCCCCCCTTTGCCTCCACTCTTCTGGGAAGGCTTTCCACTAGATGTTGGAACATTGCTGTGGGGACTTGCTTCCATTCAGCCACAAGAGCATTAGTGAGGTCAGGCACTGATGTTGGGCGATTAGGCCTGGCTCGCAGTCGCGGTTCCAATTCATCCCAAAGGTGTTCGATGGGGTGGAGGTCAGGGCTCTGTGCAGGCCAGTCAAGTTCTTCCACACCGATCTCGACAAACCATTTCTGTATGGACCTCGCTTTGTGCACGGGGGCATTGTCATGTTGAAACAGGAAAGGGCCTTCCCCAAACTGTTGCCACAAAGTTGGAAGCACAGAATCGTCTAGAATGTCATTGTATACTGTAACGTTAAGATTTCCCTTCACTGGAACTAAGGGACCTAGCCCGAACCATGAAAAACAGCCCCAGACCATTATTCCTCCTCTACCAAACTTTGGAGTTGGCACTATGCATTAGGCAGGTAGCGTTTTCCTAGCATCCGGCAAACCCAGATTTGTCCGTCGGACTGCCAGATGGTAAAGCATGATTCATCACTGAACGCGTTTCCACTGCTCCAGAGTCCAATGGCGGCAGGCTTTACACCACTCCAGCCGACGCTTGGCCTTACGCATGGTGATCCTAGGCGTGTGTGCGGCTGCTCGGCCATGGAAACCCATTTCATGAAGCTCCCGACAAACAATTCTTGTGCTGACTTTGCCTCCAGAGGCAGTTTGGAACTCGGTAGTGAGTGTTGCAACCGAGGACAGACGATTTTTACGCGCTATTCGCTTCAGCACTCGGCGGTCCCGTTCTGTGAGCTTGTGTGGTCTACCACTTCGCGGCTGAGCCGTTGTTGCTCCTAGACGTTTCCACTTCACAATAACAGCACTTACAATTGACCGGGGCAGCTCTAGCAGGGCAGGAATTTGACGAACTGACTTGTTGGAAAGGTGGCATCCTGTGACGGTGCCACGTTGAAAGTCACTGAGTACTTCAGTAAGGCCATTCAACTGCCAATGTTTGTCTATGGAGATTGCATGGCGGTGTGCTCGATTTTATACACCTGTCAGCAACGGGTGTTGCTGAAATATCAGAATCCACTAATTTGAAGGAGTGTCCACATACTTTTGTATATATAGTGTATCTCCACCAGCACCACCCATACATATCTCCACCACCACTGTCCTCATCCTCATGCCTGTTACAATCAGCTAGAAGGTTTTCACTGAAGCAGCACTATGCGCCAAGATCACACACCCACCTCCGTGAAGCCAGTTGAAAAAGTCAGCCTATTGAGAATTTTGACATTTTCCCAAATTCCTCATTCCTAATGCAAATTCCTTCCACCTCCCAAGCCAACATTTTGCTATACTTTTAAACTTGACCTCTTTTCTCCATCTCTAACCAGCACACGGCCGTTGCCCAGTAAGCTTCATCCAGCATGCCAGTCCCTCCCTCGCCTCTAGTAACACCTAAAACTCACCGGTTATCCAGGAGTCTGTCCCGCACTAAGAGGTGGGACCTGTTCAGAAGCAAACAACCCATAGCCCCTACCCCCTAGACACTTGTGGAGATCTTGTGAAGGTTTAAGCAATAGGTTAGATGGAATTGTTAACATATCAGTGGGCAAGGGGGAGCTCTCAGATCTCCACAAGTGCGTAGGGGCTAGGGGTTGTTTCTGGACAGGGCCTTTGACTGACCTATGTGCAGAACTGCAAACCCAGTGGTAAAGAAATTGACAAAACACTTGTACAAGCTAATCCCACTTTCAGCAGTTTGCTGTATTGTGTTTGTGTGGGGCGTGGCATCTTGCCCTGCAGACAGGAAGAGGATGTTTTTTGAGCGGGTCTATTGGGCTAGGCTGGAAAGGGTATGTAACTACGGTATGTAGCCTGTGTCCCCCTTTGGGTGTTTGTCTCTGATTTTTTCTTTGAAACGCACCTCTTCTACATAGTTTGTCTTCTCTGCTGGAAGAGCGAGGGATGTGCATGGACACAACAGTGCAGGGACAGTGCTGTGCGCCCAAGCTTCCCATCTGATACTAGAGCAACGCTATTATCCTCCAGTCTTGTGACGCAGCACACAATGCTTACAGGCTGGATGGAGCACGTAGTATGGCGTATTGACCACAGCTGACTTTAAATGGTCAAATACACATTTGTTAACCAGTATCTCCATCAGCATCGCCTTAGTCGATGACGCAGTGCTTCCCCCCCCCCCTAGACTTGTGCAGTCTAAGCTTTTGACCGAATTAATCAGAACCTTGATTCCATGATGTCATGAAAGTTATTATGACTCTTAATGAAAGTCTTGGATCAGAGCTCTGGAAAAGAATGGATCATGGTTCTGATGTAATTCATTGGAGGATGTTTTCTCTGTGTCTGATAGCTATCCAGTAATTTCTCTCTCCTCAAACATCCCTGACTTCATCTGTCTTGGCATGTGCATTTAAAAAGGCGGCAGTGTTTGAAGCTTTTCCTGGACTGCATTTGGCCCTTCATTCTCCGCCATGGTTTAGTCTCCATCTTTTACACGCAGGAGTTCAAAGGTTTTCATAGACCTTGAACAAGCCTAACATCCCAACTTGGCATGGTACCAATCAATCAATCAACCATTCCATTTGTCCAGTGTGGTTTCTATTACAGTAGCCTATCGACATTGAATTTGCAAATGTTACCAATTGGTGCAGTTGTTTCGTATTGAGGGCAAAAAAACTAAAACACTTTGAACCCCGGATAACCTCTTTTTACTAACCCTGGCAATTAAATTCAAAAGGCTTCACTATGATTCTCTGTTTTGCTTCCAGGCTTTCGTTATTGACTTGTTTCATGCATTGTCGTCTCTCTGTTTCTTTCCCATGGTTTTAGTTCATTCAATTTGTCACTGCCATACATACTATACTGTAAGTTGTTAGTGAAACTGTTTAAGAACATTTCTGTCAAAGTTCCTATTTACGTTTAGCCCTAGGTATGATGTAATGGTTTGTGCTATACCGCTAGAAACTATTTTGTATGTTGTGAGTATGATGCATTGCATTGGCATTTCCTGCTTGCATTTTCATTGGCATATGTCACAGTGACAATAAGTTTTACTCTGCTTTCTCTCCCTCATGTTAGGCCTCCAAGATGGAGAAACAGAGCAGCATGTCAGACGGTGACTATGACAACACAACCAATGACTCTGAGTTGGAGGACTCAGGGTAGGAACACACACACACACACACACACACACACACACTTGTGTGTGCACGGACAGCCAATTCACTGATACAAGCCACACAAAGCAAAGTCACACTGTCAGATTGGAAATTCTCACTTCAAAGTTACCACTGCTTCCAGTGTTACAGTGTCCAGTGTTACACATCAGGTGGTGAAAGTTAGGTCTGGATGTAGGGGTGCAGAGATTGTTGTAACGTCCTTAATTCCCCTGGCAGTGTGGGCAGGAGGGGGAGGCTGAGGAGCAGTGGCTGGCTCGGGGAGGGCAGCTCCATCCCTGAGTTGGACCATCTGGAAGCCGAGCCGGACCCTGCGCTGCCCAGCACCGAGGATGTCATTCGCAAGACAGAGCAGATCACCAAGAACATCCAGGAGCTGCTCCGCGCCGCGCAGGAGAACAAGCACGACAGGTGAGGAAGAAGTGGCAGGCCATGAGCTCGACATCGAAAAAAACAAAATTAAATACAACTCCTATGTTGTAACTATCTCTATGGAGATACAACTGAAACGTTCCAGATAGTCATCCCCCTTTTGTTTAACAGAATTCATTATCACAGCTTCACCTTTTCCCTTTTGTGTATTCATCATAGTACCTCCACTTCCTAGATTCTTCTTGAGTTCCCCCGCTGTCACTGATTTGTTTACTGGAGCTCTGCATTTTGTGTTCTTCTCAGTTCAGTGCTCTTATTTTATTATTCCCTCTATGATTTCACCTCTTCGTCTTTTTCTGTGTTCTCCCCGTGTCCTCTCCCCTCCTCCCCGTTCTTCCTTCTCGCCCGTGTTCTCCCCGTTCCTCTCCCCCCTCTCCCGTGTCCTCTCTCCCCGCCTCCCCGTGTTCCCTCCTCCCCGTGTTCCTCCCCTGTGTCCTCTCCTCCTCGTCTCCCTCCTCCCCGTGTCCCTCTTCCTCCTCCTCCCCGTGTCCCTCTCCCGTGTCCTCTCCTCCCTGTGCCCGTGTCCCCTCCTCCCTCGTGTCCCTCTCCTCTCCCTCCCCGTGTCCCTCTCCCTCTCTCCCTGTCCTCCTCCTCCCCGTGTCCACTCCCTCCCTGTCCCTGTCCTCATCCTCCACTCCTCCCCGTGTCCTCATCCCTCTCCTCCTCCCCTGTTCCTCTCCTCCCTGTGTCCACTTCTCCCCGTGTTCCTCCCTCCATCCTCCCCGTGTCCTACTCCTCCCCGTGTCCTCTCCTCCCTGTGTCCACTTCTCCCCGTGTCCTCTCCTCCACTCCTCCCCGTGTCCACCTCCTCCCCGTGTCCTCTCCTCCCCGTGTCCACTCCTCCCCGTGTCCTCTCCTCCACCTCCTCCCGTGTCCTCTCCTCCCCGTGTCCACTTCTCCATCTCCCCTTGTCCTCTCCTCCACTCCTCCCCGTGTCCACTCCTCTCCTCGCCCGTTTTCCCCTTCTCCCCTTGTCCACTCCTCCCGTCTCCCTCCCCGTTTCCACTCCTGCCCCGTCTCCCTTGTCCACTCCTCCACTTCCTCCCCTCCGTCCCCTTCTCCTCTCCTCCCCTTGTGTCCCTCCTCCCCGGGTCTACCCCTCCTCCCCAAGGTTCCCCATGTCCTCCTCCTCCCCGTCTCCCCTCCTCCCCGTCTCCCCTCCTCCCTGTGTCCTCTCCGGCGTGTCATTCTTTCGGGGGTGTTGTGGTCCTGTGGTCTCTCACCCTCTATTCCTGTAAGCAGACCTTGTGAGCGTGAGAGTGTGCGCCGGCTCAGGCACAGTCTAGGCTGTTTCAGCAGCCTGGTTCCCTGGGCCGAGAAGGCCCCCTCTCCCCTGCAGCCCCTCAACCTGCGCTCCCCCGATCCTGCCGCCTGGTACTTCACTGGCCTCTGTCCCTGCCTCAAAGGCACAGTGTCTCATTTCTCTCTCACACACCTTCTCTCTCTCTCACACACCTTCTTTGTCTTGCCTGCCCCTCTGTTGCCCAATTCTGATGACAGATTCCCTCCTTTTGCTATGTGTGGCCTGCTAGGCGTTAACGTGAAAGGCTGATCCTAAAGAACTCTCACTCACCTACTCTCTTAATTTATTCCATTGCAAACGCCACTACCTCAAAACTAAACTTTTGATATTCAAGGTACCCACGGTTTGTTTAGTTGGTATTCCGTGTGGTTAGAGTAGAGCTGCAGATAGTTGAATCTTTAGTAGTCCATCCAAAGTAGATGATAACAAGCGGGCTAATCAACTTGTGTGTTTATGTTAGGGAATGGTGCCCTGTAGTGTAATATCAAAATGACTCATTATTATTATTTTTAATTTTCTTGTTTTGTCATAGCTGATAGTTCATCACACATGATCAGCTCTGATCCTCACTCCTGTCTACAGTCGTGGTCAAATGTTTTGAGAATGACACAAATACTAATTTTCACAAAGTCTGCTGCCTCAGTTTTGATGATGGCAATTTGCATATACTCCAGAATGTCATGAAGAGTGATCAGATGAATTGCAATTAATTGCAAAGTCCCTCTTGCCATGAAAATGAACTTAATCCCCCAAAAACATTTTGACTGCATTTCAGCCTTGCCACAAAAGGACTAGCTGCCATCATGTCAGTGATTCTCTCGTTAACACAGGTGAGAGTGTTGACGAAGACGAGGCTGGAGATCATGCTGATTGAGTTAGAATAACAGACTGGAAGCTTTAAAAGGAGGGTGGTGCTTGAAATCATTGTTCTTCCTCTGTTAACCATGGTTACATGCAAGGAGACACATGCCATCATCATTGCTTTGCACAAAAAGGGCTTCACAGGCAAGGATATTGCTGCTAGTAAGATTGCACCTAAATCAACCATTTATCGGATCATCAAGAACTTCAAGGAGAGAGGTTCAATTGTTGTGAAGAAGGCGTCAGGGTGCCCAAAAAGTCCAGCAAGCGCCAGGACGTCTCCTAGAGTTGATTCAGCTGCGGGATCGGGGCACCACCAGTGCAGAGCTTGCTCAGGAATGGCAGCAGGCAGGTGTGAGTGCATCTGCACACACAGTGAGGCGAATACTTTTGGGAGGATGGCCTGGTGTCAAGAAGGGCAGCAAAGAAGCCACTTCTCTCCAGGAAAAACATCAGGGACAGACTGATATTCTGCAAAAAGTACAGGGATTGGACTGCTGAGGACTGGGGTAAAGTCATTTTCTCTGATGAATCCCCTTTCTGATTGTTTGGGGCATCCGGAAAACATGCCAACAGTAAAGCATCCTGAGACCACTCGTGTGGGGTTGCTTCTCAGCCAAGGGAGTGGGCTCACTCACAATTTTGCCTAGGAACACAGCCATGAATAAAGAATGGTACCAACACATCCTCAGAGAGCAACTTCTCCCAACCATCCATGAACAGCTTGGTGATGACCAGTGCCCTTTCCAGCATGATGGAGCACCTTGCCATAAGGCAAAAGTGATAACTAAGTGGATCGGGGAACAAAACATCGAAATGTTGGGTCCATGGCCAGGAAACTCCCCAGACCTTAATCCCATTGAGAACTTGTGGTCGATCCTCAAGAGGCGGGTGGACAAACAAAAACCCACAAATTCTGACAAACTCCAAGCATTAATTATGCAAGAATGGGCTGCCATCAGTCAGGATGCGGCCCAGAAGTTAATTGACAGCATGCCAGGGCGGATTGCAGAGGTCTTGAAAAAGGGTCAACACTGCAAATATTGACTCTTTGCATAAACGTAATGTAATTGTCAATAAAAGCCTTAGACACTTATGGAATGCTTGTAATTATACTTCAGTATACCATAGTAACATCTGACAAAAATATCTCATAACACTGAAGCAGCGAACTTTGTGAAGACCAATAATTCTCAAAACTTTTGACCACGACTGTATATTACCCATGATTTAAAGTCTGGTTACCAATCTGTTTCTGCTCTCTTGCCAACTCCTCAGTGCAGAAACAGATTGGCACCCAGGCTATGTAAATTATGGCAGCTGCAGTTTGACCGTGCCAGAATGCAATATTTGGAATAGCATAATAGATTAGCCAAGCACTAAGAACGGACGGCAGTTAGTTTTTCAGCATGTAGCTGGGAGTGTTGAATTGTGTTTTGCCTCCCCTCCTCACCTAGACTAAAAACTCAGTTCTGTCTTGTTTTGAATAGTGTTGTTTTGGGATTGCAAAACATTTAAATGTACTTTTTTTTTTTTTTTTTTTTTTTTAATGAAATAATGATGACATGAAAAGTCTGTCTTATTAACCTATCTCCTCCTGGTGCTTTCCTCTTAAAGCTTTATACCCTGCTCCGAAAGAATACATGTGGCTGTGACGGAAATGGCCGCCCTCTTTCCCAAGGTAAGCTCACAGAACACTCCATGGTACCACCATCACACACATGCGAAGGGCTTTTAACCCTTTTTTTCCCCCTTTTATTTTGTTTATCACTTTGAATTGCATCCTCTGTAAGAAATGTGGTATAGAAATAAAGTTTGATTGAACCCAGGTCAGATGTGTTGAACCCCTTCTTGGTTACCTGTAACCTCATCTCACCTTTCAGAGACCACGTTCAGAGACAGTGCGAGGCCCCCTGCGCCTGTTGACGTCCAGCGCCTTCCGCCTCCAGGGCGAGTGTCGGAAGGCAGCGCCCCCCGAGGGAGGTCCAGGGCCCGACATGCAGCTGGTCACCCAGCAGGTTATCCAGTGTGCCTATGACATCGCCAAGGCCGCCAAGCAGCTTGTCACCATTACCACCAAGGAGAACAGCAACTGACCATCATAACCACCGCCACCCGTCGCAGGCCTTTTAGATATCTGAAGGCCCGAAACGTCTCCACGTATTGTTCGTCCTTTAACTTTGTTGTAAAAGTAGTTTTTTTCCGTTTTTTTTAATCAGTGTTAGGGATATTTGCATGTCAATTTTTATTTAAAGACAAATGTACAAAATTATAAAGAGTGTTAAAAGTTAAAGAAAACATTTGGACAAAATGACTGAACTTCAGCTATGGGAAAGTGGCCGGAGCTCTACTAACTGGAAGGGAGAGGCTGTACTAGTGGATTTGTTTCTATGGACTTGGTTTGTCGTGATCTACTACAGGAATCCACAGTACAGCCCAAAACTGACAAGATGATTGTGGAGTTCCAGGGAGATCCTTCGTCGCTAATGTGCAGTTTCTAAACTGCACTTCTTGATAGTTTTTTTGTGGTTCTAGATACTTCTAGATATGTCTCCGTCGCCCACAAAGAAGACATGTTGTTTTACTCCCAACTATCGCCTATACCCTCGTTCTTACAAAGGCTTGTCATCCACTTTGATGCTCCTTATCTGAACCAGGAGTCTCAAACTGGCTGCCCCCGGTCCAGCTGCGGCCTTGAAGTGAATTTAAGTAGCCCATTATAGTATTTCACGTGGTTGAGGATGTTGTGAAAACTATGAATAAGCCATAATGCTGTTATCAGTGCATAACATGCTCTTTACACACATTGGAGCTACGTAATATCATTATGTATTCCCACGCATAATAGAGAGACACGTGATCGTATACAAATGTAAGCAAGGTTTGAAATGATTATGGTTTAGTCAAACATATCTGTTTGGGCTTCTTGCGGTCAATTTGCAGTCTACAAATTATTAGTAATTATGTTCCGGCCCCTGACCATCCGCTCACAAATAAATTGTCCCGCAACTGAATCTAGTTGATGATCCCTGCTGTAACCTAACTATGGAATTGTAATGTATAATTTAATAAAAATCCAGCAAGTGTAGGAAGTAATGTTGGGAGATTTGGAACTGATGTTGAACCATCTCTCATCTGTGCACATTTGTGTATCCCTGCAATGCAAATGTGCCTCCCCTGTCCAAGTGTTATTGCTTCCATTTCGAAATGCATCTACAGCCATCTATGCCTACTATTGCATATCAACACTTGTTCAGGGGGGCAAATTATGCTTTTCACCAGCAATATGTTGTTTGTATTGAGTTCTAGTGATGTATCTTTTTTGAACAATCTAAGATGCTAGACCCGGTCTTGTATTTGCTTGTGTGCTAGAACAGTGTTAGTGCTGTGACTGTAGCTAGATTTGCAGCTTATGCATCATTTCCCCTCTTCCGTGTGTTTTTTGTGCTCCGTTTTGTAATGCTGCTATGTTTTTATTAAATGTGCAACTAATTGGATAGGATTGTAGATATCTCCTCTACAATTCTGCAAGCGGATGGTCGTCATCAGCAGATGGTTCAGAGCTGTGTTATACTTGAAATGTGATCAAGGAAACGTCCCTCTGTGCTTCACTTGTTCTGAATGGACTTCCAACAGGTGTCAGTCCTGCAGTTATCATAGCTGCAGTGGGGGGGAGCCTTTTAAAAAAATAAATATAATTTATACTTGTAACCTTCTCATGTTGTATTTGTAAAAATGTAATTATTCTGTCTATTAATGACCAAGTAATTGTTTGTTATATTATTGTGTGATGTTGTGCTTCGTCCATGAGTGCAGAGAAATGTGCAAAGAAAGGAACAGTGATTTATTTTAATGAAAAAAGTCACAATTCGAAGAATCCTAAAAATATAAGAAACATAAAACAGCCCCAAGATTGTAACGCTATCCCTCACACCATTTTGGAACAAACTCTACAACCACCACTTTCTGCAACTGATGAGCATGGTATTGGAATACTTGATCAATTTTAAACTTGAGATGTATTTAAGATTAACTCTTTGTACAAATGTGTATAAAAACATATGATTGTGCAGTGTCTTTTGGCCTCACAGGATCATCATGTCCAGGCTGATCGGGGTCTGCTACGAATCTATTAGAGGAAGACTGAGTATGAACATGGGACAAATGAATCAAGTGCTTTAGCAATTAAGAGCAAACATGGTAAGAAATATCAATCCAAATCGGCCGCAATAGACTTATACACTGAACAAAAATATAAATGCAACATGTAAAGTCTTGGTCCCATGTTTCATGAGCTGAAATAAAATAGCAGAAATGTTCCATATGCACAAAACGCTTATTTCTCTACAATTTGGGGCACACATTTGTTTAAATCCCTGTTAGTGAGCATTTCTCCTTTGCCAAGATAATCCATCCACCTGACAGGTGTTGCATATCAAGAAGCTGGTTAAACAGCATGATATTTACACTGGTGCTGCCACTAAAAAATGTGGTTTGTCACAACACAATGCCACAGATGTCTCAAGTTAAGGGAGCATGCAATTGTCATGCTGACTGCAGGAATGTCCACCAGAGCTGTTGCCAGAGGATTTCATGTTAATTTAATGACAACATTCCACAAGCCACAATCAACAGCTTGATCAACTCTATGCGAAGGAGATGTGTTGCGCTGCATCAGGCAAATGGTGGTCACACCAGATACTGACTGGTTTTCTGATCCACAACCCTATCTTTTTTTTTTATGTACTGTATCTGTGACCAACAGATTAATATCTGTATTCCCAGTCATGTGAAATCCATAGATTAGGGCCTAAAGAATGTATTTCAATTGACTGATTTCCTTATATGAACTGTAACTCAGTAAAATCTTTGAAATTGTTGCAGTTTTTTTTTTGTTCAGTATATTTGCCAAATGGATTGTTGTCTCTATAGCTGCCAGGTAAATATGTTGACATTGTGTGCCCAAATGAACAGGACTGTGGTTCAGTACCTTGTTCTGGTAGCCCTGCTGGACCATCCTATGGGTCTCCAGCCTCAGCTCCTCCTCCTGCAGCCTCAAGGCCTCCCTCTCCTCCTCCTCCATCTGCTCCCTCTGTCGCTGCTCCTCCCACTGCTCCCGACGCCGCTGCTCCACCTGCAGGGGAGAGCCAACAATGAGCCACATCAGACGGCTCCATCATCTAACCCAGGTCAACACCTGACCCAGGTCAACAAAGGCTGTTCACAGCCTTTCATTCATCCTTTTAGAATTGGAGTTTGAAGGCCCCAGCCAACCTGTGCATTGATCTCCTGCATCCGAGCCGTCCTGTGACCCTCATCCTCCTCCCTCTCTTGGCGTCTGGTCTGCCGCTCCAGCTCCAGCTCTTCGATCAGCTCCTCGCGCCTCCTCAGAGACTCCTCCTGAGCCTGAAGGTTCTCCTGCATCTTGACCTCCAGCTGCTGCTGTCTCCCTGCCAGAACCTTCCAGGGAGAAAAGGAGAGAGACACTTGGATTCTCTAGTCTTCTGTAGATACAAAGATGCAGGCTTGGCACTCCTTGGTGTGTTGCTCATGTCCTAGGCCCACTCACCTCCTGCATGAGCCTCTCCCTGGCTCTCCTCTCCTTCTCCCACTCCGCCTCCCGCTTCTCCCAAACACGCTGGGCCTCCTCCCTGACAGGACAGGACAAGACCATTCATTTAATTTTGCAATACAAAACGTAGATCTCCACCCCATAGTCAGACCTAGACTGGCAGGGGGAAGTCATAATAAGAGTGGTTCTACTGACCGGTACAGGACGTCAAACTCTGCCTCCCTCTCCCTCTCTAGCTGGAGCTGCTCCTCGATGACATGCTTCATCCAGGCGGCATCCGCCACTGCCCTCTCCCGCCGAACGCTTTCCAGACGCTGGTCCTCCTGCTCTCCCTCAAGCAGGGCTGCCAGAATCCTGCGATCCGCCTCCTGGTGGACGACACAGGCATTACAAGCAGTGGTCACTGGTGAAGGGAGATGATCTCATCGTGTCAATTCACATGCAGCTGAGCAATTAAAAAAACAAGCAGACATACCAGCTCCTCCTGCACCTGCTGGGCTCTCCTCTTCAGTTGGGCGCGGTACTGGCGGGTCAAGAATCGCCTGAGTAAGGAAACTATTCGATCAAACCACAAGAACAACTACTACTGGCCTTGAGGCAGTTTTTCAGTCTAGCTGGTTTATTTATAGTTATCATCCTTCACTGAACTCTTCCAATGGGAGAGTCACTTACCCCATTTCAGATTTCTTGTGGCACTCCTCCACCTTCCTTCTCTCCTCCTCCAGCTTCTCCACCTCCCAGCGCTGGGACAGCAGGGCCTCCTGCTCCTTCTTCAGATGCCTGGCCTGAAAAACAGAGATAGCAAAGGGGCTCAGTCACACTACCAGCGTTTACAGTGCAATTCCAAATTAGGCTTATGCAGGGTGACCAGGTCTTACCAACAGGCTGCCGATACAGATCTCATGTACACAAAATCGCCAGAGCCCAGAAATAATTTGTCCCCACCAGTATCAGACAATTAAACAAATAACTGCCCACCACCCCATGAATCTGAAATGTATGAAATGTTGCTTACCCCATGGACTGTATACGTGTGTTGTTTTTGTTGTTGTAATTTTGCTTATGATTTATATTGTATGTATTTATGCAGTATATGTGGTGATGATGTGCTGTTGAGTTTGAGATGAGATGCAAGACACATTTTCTGAAACGGACACAATAAATTATTATTAATATGTCATCTGACTGGTCTCCATAGTCTTGCTTTACTCAGTGCACTACACCGTGTATGGTGCTTCTTCTTCTGGTTTGTAACAGTACCATTATCTTCCTCTGCAGAACTAGTGTCCGGAGACTGAACGACAGCTGCTTGCTTACCTCTTCCTCCCGGAGCTTGAGCTCTTCCATCTGTTTGCGGAGCTCCTCGGCTCTCTCCCTGTCCTCTGCTCTTCTTCTCTCCTCCGCCTGCTTCATCCTCCCAAGCGCCTCCCGTCGACTCCTCTCGTATTCGTTCTCAAAGCGCCTCTTCTCCTCTTCGGCTGCCTCTTCGTGCTGCAGGTTTCAATGCAGGGATTACTTTGGATTAATACGTCATTGTCTTTCTATGATAGAGAATCAGTTTAAGATATGTCTACACTATTTGTCTTATTTTTAAAAAGCATTGTGGATATCCACACATTTAAGGAAGGTCTTATTTTGCACTCTGAGAAAAGAGTAGTCTAACACGACTTTATTTCAGTAATAAAATACTGTACTCACAGATTCAAGAATGCTCTTTAAATACTAATAGCCATCTTGAAATGAAATACTCAATTCTGAGTTAAAGCGCACTAACTGAGAAGTGAACTAAACCCTGTGGCAGAAAGGTAGTACTGGCTGTAGCATAGAGTGCATACCTGTTTTTTCTCCAAGGTCTGTGTCTGCCATTGGCTCACCACATGATCTTTATGTAAGGTTGACTCGACCTGTAGACACAAACAGTTCAATCAGGATTCGATACACAGACGAGACATTGACACATAAACCTGACCTTAAAGGGAAGGGATAACGTGGGGTTTATTTTAGACTCTGAGCTCAATCCAGGAGTCAGGTTCACAGAAAGACATGGAACAATTGCATCACAAGCCCTATTGGTTTCCAGATCAAGTCTACTTCTTGACAAAAAAACTGTGTCAGGTCTCTTCAAATGTACCAGACAGCACTTCGTCACCAGTGTTGTGTTCAGTAGGCACCAAATGGACTGAAACAGGGAGGACTTGTCCAATAAGAAACACTAATTGTTGAGACGAACTGTCAAGGGTTATACATGGCATCCCTAAACCTCCAGTTCTCATTAAAAGACAGATACAATCGGCCACTAACCTTCCGCAACTCAGGGTTGTTTTTCTTCCAGTGCTCCTTCAACAGCTCTTCTGCTAGCTGTGTGGTAGAATAGTAAAACAACAAAATCAATGGTAATGCATTCTGCCAGCTCAGTGCTTGTGTATCTTATGTGTATTTGAGGAATAAACCGGATGAGGTTAATGCCTCTATACCTTCTTCCTTCGTTCCTCTCGGGCTGAGCGGAGGTCTTCGGTCTTGTCCACCAGTTGCCTAGTCAGTGTGCTCCTGTCAGGGACAACATCCCGTAACTCAGCCTCAAGCTGGTCCCGCTCCTCCTGGAGCAGGGTTCTGAGACGCTCCCTGCGCTGCTCCAGACTCACCACCTGCTCCTCTTTCAGTCTCTCTTTGTGGTATGCTGACATACTGATGAATGGGAGAGAAAGGAGATACGCCATTAACTAGTGATAATGGTTTTCAAGTATCATCCATTTGATCTACTGATGTGTTATGTTATCATTGATGAACTGTTGCAACTACAAGAAAAGTTGGATCAATACTATTTAGGACTGGAGAATCAGCACATTTTTAAAGCATGAAATTAGTTATAACATATCCTAGTTCCCATCATAGTATCTCAGTCAATGATCAATTTCCGAAGTACAAACAAAACAGTGGAAGAACAATACAGCCCTTGTGAATTAGGCCTACCTCTGCTGGTATGATTGACGAGAACTCCAGTGTGCCTGCTTACTGCTTACAACGTTCTGTTGTCTGTAGTATTTCGAGTGCATCTCCCATTGCTGCCGCCACCGTGCCTCCTGTTCCCGCTGCCGGCAGTGCCGCACCATCTGGCTTTCCAGAGAACGAACTCGACTCGGCCAGTGGGCAGAGAGGGTTGGTAGAGCCATATAGATCTAGACGGAAAAACTATATTCAGTTAGCTATTTAGAAACTGACAAAACTGTTTCTGTTAGACAATCGAAATGGACAAAGCCGTTACTAGCTACAGCTAGCTACAGTGGATAACGTAGCTAGCTAGATTCAAACTATGATGACGCCACCAGTAAAGTCCTAACAAACGTTAGCTAGCGTAAAGTGCTAATCGACATTTGTCTTTACAAAAATACTTTTTGCATCAAATTGCTTACCAGTCAACGTTCCCGCTCCAAACTATAATTTCAAAGTTATGTTAGTTTGCGGCTGTAGAAAATCCTTGGATTTCTTTCTCTTCCCGTTTCGCTTAGTAACCAATTCACTTCCTAGTTACACTACAGAGATTCACAAGGGTCAAACAGCGCGACGAGTAGGGCGTTGTAATGATTGGCGATTGATGAATGTATGCCAAGTATACAAGCAGCACCATGACCCAGGTCCATGTTTTGAATGCCACTTTTTTGCTTTAGACAAGCTGGGTGTATAGAATTTTTGCCAACCACTGAAATGTGTTAATTTGCTGATTGATTGATTGGTGAGGTGATGGGTGAGTCATTCCTCCTCAAAAAGCACAAGAAAGAGGATTTCGACACCCACCATCTCAGATTGTTCTGAAATCGTTTCTGTAGTTAGAAACAGACAATATTAGCATTCCTGAAACATTATTTTGTTGAAATTTAATTAGATCTCTGAGAAATTAAGCTAATTGAACCCAAATTGGCCATTTTTAAATTTTATAGGATTCATATAATCTTCAATAAATATAGTATGTCCGATTTGGACCATAATTCTTCCTAACAATGAGTAAGACATAAGGAATCCAATAAAATTGTCAAAAGCCACCCACGGATCCCCCACACACCATGCCAATCCCACCCCAACAACCAGTATCAGTTCTCTATGTTTGACAAGGAGTATAAAGATGCGGTTTGGAGTATTGCTTCTTCATCCTTTGTAATGTATTCCGTGTGAATCTGGTGATGGTTTTTCCCCCCCTGTTTAGATAAATGAGCCATTGAAGTTGCTTGCATTATTTACCATAAATGAGTGTGAAAGTACCAGGTTTTTCCCACTAGATGCCCCTGTTCCTGCTACTGGCACCACATCATTTTATCCATGTTGCTGGTCTCTTGTGTTTATTAAATGGATCACAACATTTTCTTTGCAACTTTGGGTGGAAACCAATAGCTTTTGCTCATGATGAAAATAAATTGTGTGGTCAATTGTGTAGTCAAGCCAGTCCTCCATGAAAGCAATTCAGTTTGTCCTTCTCTTAGCAACCTAATGCTTCAACCCAACTCTCCTTGAATAGTCCAACAATTGGCAGCTCTCAGAGGGCTATCCATATGGTGCAATTCTCATATGAAGACTTTTCCTAATAGCCCAAAACTTTGATGGAGAAATGGGCTAGTGACAAAAATGTTGTGACAACCCTAATAAAATAATACAATTATAAACCATTGCATGGCAGTAGTGTATTTTTCAATACAATTATTAGAAAACATCTCTATATGTAGTGTGATTAGTAACATTTACCATTAAACCCAACCCAGCCCAATACCATTACCCTTGCAAAACACTATACACAGTGTATGTTTGGGACTTTTACCATTGAGAACATAACATTGAAACCATTAGAACTGCTGTAGCCTAATAGTTTGCTTGTTCGGCAGGAATGGTCTAACAAATTCATACCTTATTTGAAGGTAATAAACTAGGCTTGGGCGATATACCATATATACCTATAAGCAGTGGATGCTGCTGAGACGAGGACGGCTCATAATAATGTCTGGAATGGAGTCAATGGAATGGCATCCACCACATGGAAACCATGTTTGATGTGTTTGATACAATAATATAATAATATAATATGCCATTTAGCAGACGCTTTTATCCAAAGCGACTTACAGTCATGCGTGCATACATTTTTGTGTATGGGTGGTCCTGGGGATCGAACCCACTACATTGGCGTTGCAAGCGCTGTGCTCTACCAGCTGAGCTACAGAGGACCACATGATACCATTCCATTGACTACATTCCAGCCATTATTATGAGCCGTCCTCCCCTCAGCAGCCTCCACTGCATACCGGGGTATTTAGACATACTGATGGTATGATTTTCAATACCGTAAAAAAACATTGTATTTTTTAAAAAGAAATAGCGCCCCTTGTGTGCAACGATGGTATGAAAATATGTATACCGCCCAACCCTAGAATAAACCCTCTGACTTCCCTACATTGGTGTCAGAAGAGGGATGAACCTCGGTTGCAGCCATCGAGAACAAGTTAAAAGGGTTCAGTGGGAGAAATGTACAGGGGTAGTCTTCGACAGCATATCCCAACGTAGGAGCACGATCAAAGGACTTAAAGTTAGAGTGAAATGTGGGACGGGACAATCTTTCTGAAGACAAGGGCAGGCAGTGTATACACTTATGAGTACAACAGGTATGGTGTTGGACTGACAGTAGCAGTGACCTGGGTTCAAGTCACGGCTGGGGCAACCCATCCGAACATGCCACAGTACATTTACTGCAGTATGCAAATCCTTTCTTGGCCCACTGTCACCTGGTTGTGATTCCTCATTGCATAAAGAAGGGCATCAGGAGCAGGCCTGGGCCTAAAGTGGAGACACATCATTGTCTGAAATTATTTATACATGGCTAAATCTTTAATGGTGACCATATCATCGTAGGCCTTTGTCATCTGTATCTGCTAAATCAAGGATTTAGAAGAACATTTACCAGAAGTAGCCTACAAGGTTTTATCTTCCTTTCTCTATGAAAAGTCACAGAGAGCACAGATTGTGCACTATGAGTTCAATTTGATTATAGTATCCTAATTTTATCCTAATTGTATTGTTGATTGCTAGACAGTTGCAGGTATCCCTGTACTTCACTTTCACAAGTCCCTTTCGATGGCCACAAGAGCGAGCGTCAACCATCTTCTGACACCAATGCAGCAACCACCGGGGGTGACCCTCACTAAAGCTTTCTTGGGAGATAGTACCCAACCATCTGACCAATTCAGCAATTAAAAAGGCAGCCTTTAATAATATGCCATTTAGCAGACGCTTTTATCCAAAGCGACTTACAGTCATGCGTGCATACATTTTGTTTTGTGTGTGTGTATGGGTGGTCCTGGGGATCGAACCCACTATCCTGGCGTTACAAGTGCCGTGCTCTACCAGCTGAGCTACAGAGGACCACAATTATTAGAACAGTTAATGTACACGTTTGAAATGTTGTGTTTATATAAAGTGCTGTCAGATTAGCCTGTGAAAGCCTTAGATCTGTGAAAAATGCCATGTAGTGTTTTGTCCCGCCTCTGTCACATGATTGGTGCACTGATACCCACCTGTTGAAATGGGCATTCAGCGTGGGGTGCAACAGACAAAACGTTTTGCAACGGAATCCGACTAATGAATATACCCCAGGTACGTTTGCTCCAGTTTAGTGGGTGTGGCAAGCTGTGGCCTGATCAATATCTGTGTGACCATTTCAAATCGCAAAACTCGTGCAGCGTACTATACTATAATTGCAATGTTTTTAAACTGGTCATCAGCTGGGGTGAATTCATTAAGGAAACCATTTACTATTTAAGAACCAAACGGAAGCAAACAAAGAAAAACTAGAGTTTATATAAGACCAATTCAGGTAGGTCCCTCACCGTTTCATTTGCTTCTGTTTATGAAACGTTTTGCAACAGAATTGGCGGAATGAATGGGCCTACGCCCATGCAGTACCGTGTCCGTTCAATTCAACGTTGCCCACCGTTCTGCCATACTGAATGCACCGCTGGTCAGCTGCTGTGCTTTCCAGGCAGTTTTCAGACCAGTGTTGGGAAATGCTCAAGAGCTCACGCTGGTGACAGATCCGGGTTTTACAAATCACTTCACTAGTCGCTGTTGTTGTCAGAAGGGTTTGTGTAGCCTATAGTGTTGACCATGGCTGTTCTTATGGAGCACCCATTTAAACAGCTTCCAGACGATAAACAAGTGGACACTAGATCATTCTTGGAGTCGGTGTCATATCTTCCGCCATTCTTTGGTAAGTAGTTTGCAAACTCTGATTTTAGCTTGTTACATTCTAGCCCTTGATCATGACTCCGGTGCCATTACATTACACAAGAGTCATTGGACCAAGGCGTCTTCTGTAGGGGGTGTTTTGTTAAGAGCCACGCGGCACTCGGTTAACACACATTGGTTGAACATTGACCGTATCTTTAATATCGGCGAGAAATAATAATAATACAAAAAAGGTTAAATTGATACACACCTTTTATAAGTTTAGGGTTCCCACACCGCCATATCTCAATGTTACAGCGCTTGTTTACCGAAGAAAGAGTGGAATACCTGTGCTAATTAGTTATCTGAGTATCCGAACACCTGTGTGTAAACGGAAGACAGAAGCCACAAAGGTGTTGTCACTGAAAAATGCTGTTGGCTGTGTTAAAACCGGTTAAAACCATTTACAGTAGTTGTGTATTTTGCATTTGTGTAATTATTTTGATGTGATATGAAAGAGGGATTTATTTATGTTTCTAGAAACCATACCGCAATTGAGAATCGATTCACGTTTATATGGAGTATTTGGCTGTTTTGGCTTAGAGCCAATTCGCCTCTAAACAGAACATGTAAGGTCCTTGGACTAAGGAGTAATGTTAGGCTCCTTTAGTCCAATATTGGGCTAGCCACAGCCTATGCATAGACCACCACCCAAATTCCTCTCTAATTTGTTGCAACAAACAATATATTGCCCGTTACACTGTTGCATTTATTTCAACAAAGTAACACACCATTTGCTACAGCCCATCATGGTTGAAGACCGAATAATCAGATTATGTGTTTGGCAATACATTTGTCAGTAGGCTACTTGCTGTTCTCTGAATATTTTGAATGCATGCAAGGGTAGTGTTATCAACATTTCATTGACCTGACAATACTAGGAGTCCGAAGAGGGATTCCTGTATCCAGAAAAGGGACTTTCATTAGTTTCATTCATCAGTAGTCTGATTTTCCTGTGGGGTTTCAGAATGTGAGTAGTGATCTGTCAAAACACCTCTGTCAATCCCAAGCAATTAACTGCCTCAAGGGACAATCTTTTTATATTTTGTATTGATTATTTTTACCCCCTTTTCGTGATATCCAATTAGTAGTTACAGTCTTATCCCATCGCTGCAACTCCGGTATGGACTCAGGAGAGGCGAAGGTCGAGAGCCATGCATCCTCCGAAACACCACCCTGCCAAGCCGCACTGCTTCTTAACCCGGAAGCCAGCCGCACCAATGTGTCGGAGGAAACACCGTGCAACTGGTGACCGAAGTCAGTTTGCAGGCGCCCGGCCCGCCACGAGTCGGTAGAGCGCGATGGGACAAGGATATCCCGGCCGGCCAAACCCTAACCATGACGACGCTGGGCCAATTGTGCGCCGCCTCATGGGTCTCCTGGTCACGGCCGCTGTGACCGCACCTGGGGCTGTAGTGAAGCCTCAAGCACTGCGATGCAGTTCCTTAGACTGCTGCGCCACTCGGGAGGCCAAACAAGGGACAATCTTTTTTGGATCGTATTTCTCTTTATCAAGCAGTCAACAAACCATTTGCATGCCTAATTTAATAAACTGGCCTCGATTTGAAGTTGTGAAAATTGATTAGTACAGTGTTGAGTTTCCTTTGGCTATTCACTGGCTGTGTGGTGCATTGGGGCATCTTTGTGTGTCTTCATCCTGTTTTTAATATACCAAAGGTACTGTATTGAATTAGCCATGTGAAACCCCTGAGAACCTTTGTTTTGATATTAATATCTTTCCATTTTGTTCTCATTCTTTAAACTGACCCTAACATTTCTTAGCCAACGTTCCTTTTGACCTCAACTCAAGAAACAGTATATGTCTTTGTATGATTAATTTTTGTTTTCTATTTATTTTATTTTATTATGGTGTAACGGATTTGGTGTTATTTAATGTTGTAATACTCAGTCACAAATCAATTATGCATAACTGCTATATTGAGTTGTGACTAGCCCATATCATGTTGGAATTTCAATGCTGTTGGAGGATAGGCCTAAAATCTCATCTTTGTTTTTCCACCACCCTTAACTCAGTTCTATATTTCCATATTATGCTATGATTAAAAGATAATACAGTTGATGACTTCTGCTTTTATTACATAGTCTGGACCTTCCAAAGCCACCGTTTGGACATGGCACAAGCACAAAACCGTTATGTGGAAGCAAGTGAGAGAGAAGTTTTGCATTGAATGTGGTAAAAACTGAGAGATGGGCATCTTTGGTGAATGGAGAAGGGTACATAGAGCTTATCTGTAACTAGAGAAGATATCGGTACCACTAGCACAATGGACAGCAATTTGTCAGAAGTGATTTTCTGGGGCTGAAGTACAACGGATCCCAGTTGTACTTCACTTTAAGCCATGTGTGGCTGGAATGTCTGTCCTCCACTAGTCTACGCCAAATGACTGGCCAGGCCTAGCCAAGCCCCCTATTATGTAGGTGCAGTGCCTTTGGAAATTATTCAGACCCCTTGACTTTTTCCACATTTTGTTACGTTACAGCCTTATTCTATAATTTATTAAATTGTTCCCCCCCTCATCAATCTACACACAATACCCCATAATGACCAAGCAAAAACAGGCATTTCGATTTTTTTGCAAATGTATAAAAAATATAAAACAGAAATATAACATTTACATACAGTGGGGGAAAAAAAGTATTTAGTCAGCCACCAATTGTGCAAGTTCTCCCACTTAAAAAGATGAGAGAGGCCTGTAATTTTCATCATAGGTACACGTCAACTATGACAGACAAAATGAGAGAAATAAATCCAGAAAATCACATTGTAGGATTTTTTATGAATTTATTTGCAAATTATGGTGGAAAATAAGTATTTGGTCACCTACAAACAAGCAAGATTTCTGGCTCTCACAGACCTGTAACTTCTTCTTTAAGAGGCTCCTCTGTCCTCCACTCGTTACCTGTATTAATGGCACCTGTTTGAACTTGTTATCAGTATAAAAGACACCTGTCCACAACCTCAAACAGTCACACTCCAAACTCCACTATGGCCAAGACCAAAAAGCTGTCAAAGGACACCAGAAACAAAATTGTAGACCTGCACCAGGCTGGGAAGACTGAATCTGCAATAGGTAAGCAGCTTGGTTTGAAGAAATCAACTGTGGGAGCAATTATTAGGAAATGGAAGACATACAAGACCACTGATAATCTCCCTCGATCTGGGGCTCCACGCAAGATCTCACCCCGTGGGGTCAAAATGATCACAAGAACGGTGAGCAAAAATCCCAGAACCATACGGGGGGACCTAGTGAATGACCTGCAGAGACCTGGGACCAAAGTAACAAAGCCTACCTTCAGTAACACACTACGCCGCCAGGGACTCAAATCCTGCAGTGCCAGACGTGTCCCCCTGCTTAAGCCAGTACATGTCCAGGCCCGTCTGAAGTTTGCTAGAGTGCATTTGGATGATCCAGAAGAGGATTGGGGGAATGTCAATGGTCAGATGAAACCAAAATATAACTTTTTGGTAAAAACTCAACTCGTCGTGTTTGGAGGACAAAGAATGCTGAGTTGCATCCAAAGAACACCATACCTACTGTGAAGCATGGGGGTGGAAACATCATGCTTTGGGCTGTTTTTCTGCAAAGGGACCAGGACGACTGATTCGTGTAAAGGAAAGAATGAATGGGGCCATGTATCGTGAGATTTTGAGTGAAAACCTCCTTCCATCAGCAAGGGCATTGAAGATGAAACGTGGCTGGGTCTTTCAGCATGACAATGATCCCAAACACACCGCCTGGGCAACGAAGTAGTGGCTTCGTAAGAAGCATTTCAAGGTCCTGGAGTGGCCTAGCCAGTCTCCAGATCTCAACCCCATAGAAAATCTTTGGAGGGAGTTGAAAGTCTGTGTTGCCCAGCGACAGCCCCAAAACATCACTGCTCTAGAGGAGATCTGCATGGAGGAATGGGCCAAAATACCAGCAACAGTGTGTGAAAACCTTGTGAAGACTTACAGAAAACGTTTGACCTGTGTCATTGCCAACAAAGGGTATATAACAAAGTATTGAGAAACTTTTGTTATTGACCAAATACTTATTTTCCACCATAATTTGCAAATAAATTCATAAAAAATCCTACAATGTGATTTTCTGGATTTTTTTTCTCTCATTTTGTCTGTCATAGTTGACGTGTACCTATGATGAAAATTACAGGCCTCTCTCATCTTTTTAAGTGGGAGAACTTGCACAATTGGTGGCTGACTAAATACTTTTTTTCCCCACTGTAAGTATTCAGACCCTTTACTCAGTACTTTGTTGAAGCACCTTTGGCAGCGATTACAGCCTCAAGTCTTCTTGGGTATGACGCTACAAGCTTGACACACCTATATTTTGGGAGTTTCTCCCATTTCTAAGCAAAATACATTCTTACAAATTGTTGGATCATTGGAAGTCTTTAAACTGAATGTGCTTATGGAGGTTACTATACAGTAACTAGCCTACACCTTGCTATGAAGAAAAAACAGTGCAAATCTTTCCCCCTGTAGTGTGGTGGTATTGGTCCTGTTTGAGATCTCTCCAAGGTACAAAGAGACCGATGATGTTATGTATATACACTGAGTGTACAAAACATTAGGAACACCTGCTCTTTCCATGACATAGACTGACCAGGTGAAAGCTATGATCCCTTATTGATGTCACCTGTTAAATCCACTTCAATCAGTGTACATGAAGGGGAGGAGACCAGGTAAAGAATAATTTAAGTGTTCAGACAATTGAGACATGGATTATGTATGTGTGCCGTTCAGAGGGTGAATTGGCAAGACAAAAGATTGAAGTGCCTTTGAACGGGGTATGGTAGTAGGTGCCAGGCGCGCTGGTTTGAGTGTGTCAAGAACTGCATTGCTGCTGGGTTTTTCACACTCATCAGTTTCCCGTGTGTATCAAGAATGGTCCACCACCCAAAGGACATCAACCAACTTGACAACTGTGTGAAGCATTGGAGTCAACATGGGCCTGTGAAATGCTTTCGCCACCTTGTAGTCCATGCCCCGACGAATTGAGGCTGTTCTCAGGGCAAAAGGGGGTGCAACTCAATATTAGGAAGATGTTCCTAATGTTTTTTTACACTAAGTATATTTCCTTTTCCTGTTGCAGAGGCCTAGGGCCAATGGTGGGCCTAATTTCCTTAGCTATGTGATAGAGTAGATTAGAACCATTGCATTTGGCGTGATAGTAGGACCTATTGAAAGTTTAATGAGTCTCGGTAATGCTTTCAGAAATCTGTCAGATGCTCTGAGCAGAGTGAATTATTTAGCATCTTATTGATTTTAAAGTTCAAGAAGAGTTTGCTGTCACCCTTCCAGTTTATTTCAAAAGCATTCAAGGACATGATCAGGATGCTGCTCAGAATGCTCATATACTATTTGTCCCAAATCATGTGTGTCTTGTAGGCCTAAAGAAAAAGCTGTTTTTGCCCATGGATGGCTCTCAAAAATATATGACAAAGCATACAGACTTATTAGGCTGCATTGTTGGGGCCCATTGTTACCGCAGAAGGTAGCCTATCCGTTAGAGCGGTGGGCCAGTAACCGAAAGGTCGCTGGTTTGAATACCCGAGCCGACAAGGTGAAAAATCTGTCTGTGCCCTTGAGCAAGGCACTTAATCCTAATTTGCTCCAGGGGCGCTGTATTACTATTGTTGACCCTGTAAAAAAACAAAACTTTTCACTGCACCTATCTGGTGTATGTGACAATAAAACAAATACTTTTTTATAATCAAAATCCTCAATAGACATGGCTCATTAAGGCTACAGCAAGTAGCCCCCTCTCGCTGTCTGTCTTTCTCCCTTTCAGTAGGTCCTACTATCACGCCAAATGCAATGTTTCTAATCTACTCTATCACATAGCTAAGGAAATTGGCCCTAGGCCTCTGGAAAAGGAAATACACTGAGTGTAAAAAACATTAGGAACACCTTCCTAATATTGAGTTACACCCCCTTTTGCCCTCAGCACAGCTTCAATTCGTCGAGGCATGGACTTTACAAGGTGTTGAAAGCGTTCCAAAGGGATCCTGGCCCATGTTGACTCCAATGCTTCCCACAGTTGTGTCAAGTTGGCTGGATGTCCTTTGGGTGGTGGACCATTCTTGATACACATGGGAAACTGGTGTGCCTGGCACCTGCTACCATGCCCCGTTCAAAGGCACTTAAATATTTTGTCTTGCCCATTCACCCTCTGAATGGCACACATACACAATCCATGTCTCAAGGCTTAAAAATCCTTCTTAACCTGTCTCATCCTCTTAATCTACACTGATTTTAAGTGGATTTAACAAGTGACATCAATAAGGGATCATAGCTTTTACCTGGAATCAACTGGTCAGTCTGTCATGGAAAGAATGTTTATATACACTCAGTGTATATCCATAAAATCATCTCTTTTTGTACCTTGGAGAGATCTCACAGGACCAATACCACCACACTACAGGGGGTAAGTTTTGCCTGACATATTCAAACTCTCTCTCCCTGTATTTCAAAGATTATTCGTAAAAATCCAAATAACTTCACAGATCTTCATTGTAAAGGGTTTAAACACTGTTTCCCATGCTTGTTCAATGAACCATAAACAATTAATGAACATGCACCTGTGGAACGGTCGTTAAGACACTAACAGCTTACAGACGGTAGGCAATTAAGGTCACAGTTATGAAAACTTAGGACACTAAAGAGGCCTTTCTACTGACTCTGAAAAACACCAAAAGAAAGATGCCCAGGGTCCCTGCTCATCTGTGTGAGCGTGCCTTAGGCATGCTGCAAGGAGGCATGAGGACTGCAGATGTGGCCAGGGCAATAAATTGCAATGTCCGTACTGTGAGACGCCTAAGACAGCGCTACAGGGAGACAGGACGGACAGCTGATCGTCCTCGCAGTGGCAGACGACGTGTAACAACACCTGCACAGGATCGGTACATCCAAACATCACACCTGCGGGACAGGTACATGATGGCAACAACAACTGCCCGAGTTACACCAGGAACGCACAATCCCTCCAGTGCTCAGACTGTCTGCAATAGGCTGAGAGAGGCTGGACTGAGGGCTTGTAGGCCTGTTGTAAGGCAGGTCCTCACCAGCAACAACGTCGCCTATGGGCACAAACCCACCGTCGCTGGACCAGACAGGACTTGCAAAAAGTGCTCTTCACTGACGAGTCGCGGTTTTGTCTCACCAGGGGTGATGGTCAGATTCAGGTTTATCGTTGAAGAATGAGCGTTACACAGAGGCCTGTACTCTACTCAGGAGTGGGATCGAGGTGGAGGGTCCGTCATGGTCTGGGGCGGTGTGTCACAGCATCATCGGACTGAGCTTGTTGTCATTGCAGGCAATCTCAACGCCATGCGTTACAGGGAAGACATCCTCCTCCCTCATGTGGTACCCTTCCTGCAGGCTCATCCTGACATGACCCTCCAACATGACAATGCCACCAGCCATACTGCTCGTTCTGTGCGTGATTTCCTGCAAGACAGGAATGTCAGTGTTCTGCCATGGCCAGCGAAGAGCCCGGATCTCAATCCCATTGAGCACGTCTGGGACCTGCTGGATCGGAGGGTGAGGGCTAGGGCCATTCCCCACAGAAATGTCCAGGAACTTGCAGGTGCCTTGGTGGAAGAGTGGGGTAACATCTCACAGCAAGAACGGGCAAATCTGGTGCAGTCCATGAGGAGGAGATGCACTGCAGTACTTAATGCAGCTGGTGGCCACACCAGATTCTGACTGTTACTTTTGATTTTGACCACCCCCTTTGTTCAGGGACACATTATTCAATTTCTGTTAGTCACATGTCTGTGGAACTTCTTCAGTTTGTCTCAGTTGTTGAATCTTGTTATGTTCATACAAATATTGACACATGTTAAGTTTGCTTAAAATAAACGCAGTTGACAGTGAGAGGACATTTCTTTTTTTGCTGAGTTTATTTCTCCCTAACCCCTCTCTCTCTATGTATTTCTCCCTAACGCCTCTCTCTTGTATTCTCTTGGGAATGTAGACAAAGCTGACATGTGAATTGTGCAGAATGTTACTTTTACAGTATGGGCAAACATGGTATTTTTAAATCTCTCTACAGACTGCCTTGGCTCTACTGTTTTTGCTCCAGTTAAAGCTGACATTGCAGGGAACATCACAGTAAGTAGCCTACAGCAACTTCTTCATATGGGCAAACTGGTAACCTTGGAGCCATAAAGAAACAAACATCTATATTACTGTACTATCCCTGTTTAGAAAATCAAGGCAGTTTATGACAGCAACCCTAGCAGGTTCAAGACCCTTCAACAAATCCTGGATGTAGAGAAGGAGATGCATGGAGCAGACTGGCCCAAAGTGGGAGCCACCCTGGCACTTATGTGGCTAAAGAGGTCAGACAAATGTTTTATTTTTGGAGCTTGAGTCGGTAACACTTTAGGATGCCGTTATAAGACTTGTCTTATAACATCTCGTTAGCATCTCATAATGAGCTTGATTAAGTACCAGACATTTTGATTCAGTTGCAATTTCAATGGAGGGACATTTATATCATCCTTATTATAAGGCATTATAAAGCCTCATACTTGCTTATAACAGGTAATAAAACAATCTACCGAAAGGCTTTAAGTGTTACCGTTGAGTCTGTCTGCAGCTGTACCACTGTCTGATATGTGATTTGTATGTTTCCTTGTTCTTCATTGACCAGGGGTCTCCGGTTCATCCAGGTCCTGCTGCAGAGTCTGGTGGATGGGGAGAAGGACGAAAACAACCCCAACCTCATCCGGGTCAATTGCACCAAAGCCTATGAGCTGGCCCTGAAGAAGTACCATGGTTGGCTAGTGCAGAAGCTCTTCAAGGTAAGCGTCTCACCATAGCATGATTGCTTTAGGTTACTGCTTTGATTACACCGCTTCTCCATTGCCAGTTTATTGTCACATTATCTGAAACTGTGATAGTCTAGCCGATTTGAAATCACTTGGTAATTAGCTGTGCCAGTGGCGGCCATCGTTCAAGTGATGTCACCTCCCTTAGATCTAAAAGTCAACTTTGTTTATGATTATGACAAGTCTGCCTTTTTGAACTGACGTGACTTGAATGTCTTCCACTGTAGGCAGCTGTGTTCGCAGCGCCCTACAAGGTGGATTTCCTGAAGGCGCTGTCCAAGGGGCAGGAAGTCAAGGAAGAGGACTGCCGGGACAAAATCAGACTATTTCTAGTCAACTTCACTGCCACTAATGATGCCATCTATGAGATGTACACCAAGATGAATGCCGAGCTAGATTACACCGTGTGACTACGGCAGATAACTCCCCATCTCCTTAAGGATCTGCCCCCCCCCCCCCATTGGGACAATTCCAAGCAGTGATAATTGAGATCTCTATGGTTTTCTTTCTGGGGGAGTTTTGTGTGTGATCCGGTGTTGTCACACATCCAGTCTGCTCTTTTAAGATCTCATTTGAGTGCCTTTGCTTGCCGCTCTTAATCAGTATGTTTCTATGACAACTGTTTTGTGGCTCAAACTTTCTTGCAGGGAATAGCTTTCAATAGGACACAAGTCTTTACATGGTGATTTGTGTTTGATTGTTACCAGGGTCGTGGTCACTAGGTAGAAAATGAAAGAAAACAGGGAGGAACTACCTCGACTTGTCCAATAAGAAATGCAAATGTTTGTTTTCTGACCCATTGCTAAAGGTTATAAAATGTCTGCCATTGCTTGCCCAAATGAACACGACCCCATTTTATAGAACAAAACTGCTCACCTGAACTGTTGAGTAGTCTGTAAACATTTCCGAACTGTTATTATTTTTCACCAAACAATTTATATATATATATATATATATATCTTACCCAGGTCACTTGGGTATTATTCTGTTTTGTAGGTACATTTTCATTGAGTTTATTAAACACGACTACAAAGCTGCCAGTTTTAAAGTACTGTACAGTACTCTTTTAAAACTACTAACAGTAGAACTGGAGGATTAGATTTTGGTAATTGTTTGCAGTCACATCAGTAACCTATTCACTTTGAGAAAGTTTAGAGGATTGTGGTAAATTAATAATCAAAACCAAAAATGTGTTATTTATCTTTGTGTTTTCTCATGATATCTGAATAATATTATACAAATAGTTATTTTGTATTGATACAATTTTTAACTCTTCTGGTATGTAATTTATTGAAAGCATCTACTTGAAAATATATTTTTTTCTTTTATATCTTTTAATTATTTGACTTTGGTAATGCAACTCTGTATCATTAGGAAAGTAAACTGTCATTTTTTCATGTGTTATTTGTTTTTGTTAAGTCCCCATCCTAAGATCTAATTCCATTGGTACAGCAACGTGATTCCTCAGTCTAAATTTGTATGATTACATAAATGATAAATCTCACAATCAGAGACTACTGTCAAGTCAGAGGATGATTTGTTTTAAAAGTTTCATAGATTCAAACTTTTCAAGATTCAAATAAGTATTTTTAAGTGTTGGAAAAAATGTGTTGAAAAGGAAATGTTTTATAACCATTACTTGTTAAGTCACATTTAAATCAATCCACCAGATGGTGACATTTCTACATCATTTATGTAATCATACAAATGTAATCTCACAATCATAATTTAGCGTTCAATATGAAAAATAAACCAGATTTATTTTGTGTAATTATAGTGGCTGAATCAATCCATGTGAGTATAGAGATATGCCCCTCTAATATTGTTAACCTAACTGTGCCTTCTGCTAGTGACACAGGGGTGAGGGTGAATTCTCACTAGCCTTGTCTTTGTCTAACAGTGCAACTTTACAGCATGCCTGCTTCTTGAGTTGAGTGATTTTCATAAGGCACCAAATGGAAAAAAATGCTTGTTTTCCTTTTCCATTGCAAAACATATTACGGTGTGCCCTAATGAACACACCGCTGTGGTTTATTGTAGAGTGTTTATCTTGCTCCATTCTGGTTCTTGTCTTGTGTCTTTCCTTCGTATTCCTCAGTTTTACTTCTAAATTACTTTCTAATACTGACTCAGGTGCCCCCAGATAATGGTTCTGTGGATTTATTTGCACGTTGACATGCTTTGTCATTTCTGAAGAAAATACTGTAGTCTTAAAATATGTCCTTGCCCCTGCCTTATAGGAATTCCTATTTGTTTGGTGGCCTGTATGTCAAACAATGTAAGTAAAACACTATGGAATTATAGCAAATTTCAAGCAACCATTAAATGCACTGAAAATTGATCACTTGTCAGTGATTTGTTTCAATTTTCTGGTTATGAAGTTGTATGTATCACTTGATTGTCATGAAATATGTGTATGAAAAGGATTCAAATGCAGTGCATAAAATCTGCTAGATATAAATTATTTATTTTAATCTAATATTGCAAACAAATATTTTCACAAATAATTACCAGTTTTGTAATTTCATATTGAATTGTGTCATTGTTATGAATTAATAATGTGTGCCCATATCAACTTTCAAATGTTTTGTGCTTACTTTGTGAAATTCACTGGTGCCTGGTCAAACACACTTGGAATTGCAGTAGGCTACACGTCTCGGGAACAAAGCAGGTCAAATTGTCTTATTATCCACTTGGGGGTGCTACTGTGTAACTTTTTGGTGGTAGCCAGGATGATTTATTGGTGGTAGCCAGGATGTTTTATTGGTGGTAGCCAGGATGATTTATTGGTGGTAGCCAGGATGTTTTATTGCTGTATCTGTATGCATGTGATTTATAGCCAATTCATTGAATTGTATTATTAATTTAGAGAAACACCACAATACCATAAAGAAGTAAAACAAGGTGGAGTCCTCTTGTGGGACTGACTGAGGCACTCCAGATTTATCCCAAGTATAAATACATTAATTTACACACACTTATGGGAAGAAAAAAACTAATGTTTTGATCATAATTGTGTGTTTTTTTTTTTTAGACACAACTGAAAACTTGAAAGAGTTTCAAGGACAAGGAGTTGCTGGTCTGATGTGATGTCATTGGCATCCCCCCTTGCTGTTTAGGTCGTTGTTCTCTTCAGCCTTTCTTGCAGAAACAATAAAGGAGCAATAGAGGAGAACATAGAAAATCCCCCCGTCACCTATTGAGTTGTGCCTTTTAAAAAAGTAAATAAGGTGAAAGGGAGACTGGACTGCCACTTTAGGAGTAGTCCCTGTACCGGTTAGTCCGGTTAGTCCCCACCCAAATACGAGCGTACCTTGTATGCGCGGACATGGAAACCGTTTGGTGGAAACCAGAGGACAGAGGCTGCTTTAGTGTAACTCGGCACACTGCCTGGAGGGCTGAATAATTATTGGACTAGGCTACACGTGAAATCAGATCACTTTTTCTCCCAAATAGTTGAAGAAAAAAGTAGCTAGTGTAGTAGACTACTAAAGTCGGGAGGAAGTCGATCCAAATGTTTTGTTCATAAACGTTTTTGAACTTTTCCTATTGTTAAGAATGAACAACTACACTGCACAAAAGGTCCATTGATTATAGGACAAGGTAAGCATCAAAAGTTTTACCTAATTTAGGGTTAATTTATTTTCAACAGGGAGTAGGCTATTTTGTGTTTTTAACTGTATTTGAAGAACACTTTATGGATATATTTATCATATTGTGCCCATTTTCGGATGGACATTTCTGGAAACCATATTGTACAGTATAATAGTCTGGTTGCGGTATGTTTGAGTCCGTATGCTAGAGATCTTTAATTGATTATAATAGCCAACATTGAGCTGCATGTAATACTTTTTTGACAAATCGGAGCAATTTTTCTGTCGAATTTAATTTATAAAAATATTGAAGGTCTTGCTGGAATATATGCCACACCATCTTTTAATTGCTTGTTATTGGAACTTTTTTGTTCAAAGTTGGGCAAAGAAGCCAAAATATAACATTAAGACATTGCGGTTGTGAACATCTTCTCAGCTCATTCATCTATTGTTATGATGAAACCTGACAGTCTTTATCAATGGGAATGTGAAACCTATTGTTAAATTGGGGGCTGTGGTTGAAACAACAGTGGAACTGTTTTGGCTAACTCCCATTTTCCCACAACCATTTGCACCCGGACAGACCCCCTTGCCTTCCCCAGTGGTCTGGGTCATATCCACTAAGTCAGTGTTTCCTAATCTGGGGTACTAGGTTGGGAAACACCCGAGCCACGGTCTGTTCACCCCTCTATCATCCAGAAGGCGAGGTCAGTACAGGTGCATCAAAGCTGGGACCGAGAGACTGAAAAACTGCTTTTATCTCAAAGCCATCAGACTGTTAAATAGCCATCACTAACCGGCCTCCTCCCAGTAACCTGCCCTGAATTTAGTCACTGTCACTAGACTGTTACCACCCGGTTACTCAACCCTGCACCTTAGAGGCTGCTGCCCTATGTACATAGACATGGAACACTGGTCACTTTAATAATGTTTACAAACTGTTTTACTCATTTCATATGTATATACTGTATTCTAGTCAAGGCCTATCCTATTTAACTATTGCTGTACATATACTATTCTATCCTATGTATTCTACAGATATACTACATATTCTATCCAAATACTGTCCATAATGTCTATACATCCCATCACATACAGTACCAGTCAAAATTTTGGACACCTACTCATTTAAGGGTTTTTCTTTATTTGTACTATTTTCTACATTGTAGAATAATAGTGAAGACATCAAAACTATGGAAAATACATATGGAATCATGCAGTAACCAAAAAAGTGTTAACCTCTACGGGATCGGTGTCCCGTATACGGGACGGTTGAGCTAACATGCGCTAATGTGATTAGCATGACTGTTGTAAGTAACAGCAAACTTTCCAGGACATCGACATGTCTTATATGGGCAGAAAGTTTAAATTCTTGTTAATCTAACTGCACTGTCCAATTTACAGTAGCTATTACAGTGAAAAAATACCATGCTATTGTTTGAGGAGAGTGCACAACAACAAAAAAACTTATCACGCCAACTGGTTTGATACATTTACCTCTGAAGGTAAGTAATGTACTTACATTCAGTAATCTTGCTCTGATTTGTCATCCCAAGGGTCCTAGCGATAAAATGTAGCATCGTTTTGTTTGATAAAATCCATTTTTATATTCAAATGTAGGAACTGGGTTCTACAGTTTGAACCCCTGCTGTCTCTGGCTCCACACCCACCACGCCCGGCCATCTAGATGTGTGAAAGTTAGTGTATAAGCTAATGATCCTTCGTGTATGACATTCCTGGGAGTGTGTAAACTTACATTTTGTATTACCATATCATTTGTGTATGTTCTCTATAGTTATGTACTTGAAAATGTATCAATTGACCATTTCGGTACATTTGGGCAGACTTGATACAAAATAGTCCAGTATTGCAATGCTTCACTGGATCAATCTGAAACTTTGCACACACACGTT